CTCTTTACTTAAACATCCTCGTGTTCGATGTATTAAAACAGCTCGCTGATGCAATTCTCCGTTTACGGTTAAACGAGCAGTTGTGCAACGACGCTAGAAATCCAACAAAGGAAAACGTCTTATCGTCACCGACTACAACGATTCCGATGACCAAATCTGTTTCTGACATCTTTCTCTTTCGTCGCGAATAAAACTTTGCCCGTCGATCGATCCGTCGCGATAACCCTTTTGGCTAAGTGTCGATTTGATTGATTTCATTAGTGAAAATTTAATTTCCCACCGTTCGATTAGCTTCGCTGATTCCACGAATGCTCTTACTTTACGTAACTCGTTCTAATATGTTTTTTCCTCGAAAACCATATTTGACGAGGTGTTTATTCGTGGCGCATGCATGCATTACTAATGACGATTCTCGATACGATTAGAGAGAAAACGAGTACGGTGTTCGATAATTCAGAGGATCAAAGTGGCACGGGGTCGATCGCGCGCTTGAAACGAGCTGTCTAAACGCGAAAGAATGAGGTTCATCTTCAATCGTTATGGTAAATAGAACGACCCCTCTAAGAACGATTGAGTTTCCTTTTCCTTTTAACGAAACGAGACCTCGCTGGAAATACAGAAGGAAAATTTAAAATGCGCCACTTCAAAGGAAAGTAAAGGAAATATTTCACGAAGTTAATGGAAAAAAAGAAAGGAAAATATACAAGGGTTAAAGGAAAGAGTATTTCGCGAAATGGATGACAAAATGGCATGCATAACGGCAGGAAGGAAAGACGGGGGGGATATTTCGCGGTAGCTGCGAGTAACGACACCAGCCTAATGTCAAGAGTGCACACATGCTGCACACACATGGGTCCCATTAATCATCCTGCATTTATCTCGCGTTTCTATGTTCCGTGGCAACGTTTCTCGCGAGTACATTATCGTTCGCGTGATACACCGACTACGGGTAGCGTATTTTTTGATTACATGCTCGATATAAGTGGCAGAGATCCGTAATTCGAAATATGCGAAATGAAAAAGTAGAGAAATCTTATCTTCCTTTCGAGGAAACAATCACGCATTAGGTAACCTTTCAGTGCCATATCGGGGTGAAATTTCATTCTGTGATCTAATAACGAAGAAAAATAATGGTAGAAAAGAAACGTTTCAAACTCTCTACTCATCGCGGGCTATTATATAGGGTGGTCTACCAGAAACAACGTACTTAATCATCTCCTTTGTCGTTGAAGATGAGAAAAAAGAAACGCCCTGCAGGCAAACGCTAAACGCTTTCGTCCGTGCTCGAAGATAATTGCTCGTAAAGGTAATTTTTCTTCCAAGAAGCAGAGATAATCGATGCTTTTTCATGCAAGACCATACATCTTCTTCAACATGGGATCATAAATTTCTGCAGATGTGCTAATTTTATTCCTAATTCTAATTCTTTATGCCGAGTAACAGTATCCTGTATCGAATCACCATTTCAATAAAAAAATAACTAATAAATATTCTTTTTTTTTCCGTCACGTAGCTAGGATGATAAACATGGATCGTGCATCGAAATCGGAAACTCAAAGGGCGATCCTCGCTTTCACGTATCGAAGAAAGGTCTTTCGGAGAAAGCAAAGCGACGTGCATCGGTTTAACACTTCCTGACTGTCCATCTCCGACCCAACCATCTCCGTTCTAATATTTTTAGACTTTCTTCCCGCTTCCTTCGACGTCTGCTTGCACAGACACATACTTTCGACCGAGATAGTAACAGAACAGATAAGCAAAAGAATTCGAGAACGAAGATTGCTTCTTTTTCATAATTCTTATGTAAATGAAATTTAGCTTAGACGATGATGAAATCGAATTAATTTTCATCTAAATAATTATTTAAAATAAACAATGATTAACTGTACCGGGGACGGAGAAAAATGTGAGAAAAAACAGGTGATGCTCGGGTTAAGGAAGTTGCTCGATACACGAGGAACATCACAACCTTGATGGGGCATTGCCCCAGCATCTCGAGAAGACGGACGAGAACACTGTGTATACGTGGCCTCTGTATCTCCGGGAGTCACGAGAATTTTCGCTTATACTAACTAGAAAGTGGAAAAATCCTCGTTTACGACACGGTGAACGTGTCGCCGACTCCACGCTCTTATCTGAATTTTCATCAACCATAAATTTGATAGCATGGGATGCTTCTTAATCAAGAACTCGGTAGTTTGCGACTAAACGAGTGTCTACGGTGTTTTAAAACGATGTTATCATCTTATTAGAGTTGGAATACGACACTTAAAAATATTATGATACTAATTTCACTATTCTTATTAATAATTCTATTTATAAAATTTTGATTTGGAAAACTGAAAAGAAACGAAGAGGAAAAAAATAGATTCTCACGCGGTGATTTCAACGGTTGCATAAGCGATGTTCTCAGTGATCGATCGACGAAAATCGATGCAATCGTTCGAAAAGAATAAGAGTCGGGAATCGGGAATTCGTTTTCAGCCGATGACTCGTTTCAATGTCGGGACTCGAGACAACCGATCTTCGACTCTCGCATACCGATCGAGGACAAATCGTGACGCGAATCGAAGCCCGTTTCTTTAATGACATTTCGCTGGCCAGAGAACCGAGGCTGGTTTCACGCTTTCACGGTACACGAAGAGAGGTATCTTCGATCCGGGGGGAATCGAACACACTTCCTGTCGATCGCGCAAAAAGATTTGCCATTAACATTCGCCAACTTCCGCGCTTTCATCGAACCGTCGCGTTCCGAAGTAAATTTCCATTTCTCGCAGATATTCAATGCTCCAACTATTTCCCTCTCCAGGTTTATCCGTTCGGCATTTCGCGATAAACGGAATGCGTTTGTCAACTTTGTTTATCGCGAGGACGTCACCTCGTTCCCTTTGCATTATTACTTGGCGCACGTTGGCCAACGATTCCGTCAGTTGCTTATCCACGGATCCTTGTAAATTATTCCGCGTGTGTACGCGAAGACGGATGTCCTTTGACTTATGGATATTGATGAGGGACGTTCCAACAACGTGAGGCATCCCGTCGACGTTTGACGTATGTCGTCTGCATAAAATGTCATCGGCGCGATGCAAGCACCCGTTAAATTATACCGAGAATTATGGGCCATCTCCTCCACCGAATATCAATCATTCCCTTCCGTCGATTATTTTTTTTTATTTTTGGAAAACTGCTGCCATTTCGTGGTCCATAAGCGATCGTTGGTTGCGAAGGTAATTCGAGAAAGTTTAAAAAAAAAAAAGAAATCAAAATTCGAGCTAATGCCAATGAAAATAGACGACTCGCAATCAGCACAGTCTATTAACGCGTGTAATTCAATTTGACCAGATTGTACAATCGCTATTTACACCGAGGTGTAAAGAGAAAGTTATAAAATCTCTCTCAACAAATTTACACGTTGTTTCAAAAAATAAAAATTGCCTCACACGTTATTACCACATACGGGACCTTTTTCCATAGATCCTTTTTTTTTATTCTCGCGCGTTAACCTTGAATCACAGGAATCAGAAAATAGTAATTTATATTTTTTTGTCCGAGCTAAGAATCTTCGAGACATCTTGCAAAATCCTGCTTTTTTTGTTTCTAATTAGCAACGTTAATAGAAAAGAGAAGAAACGGTGAAATGTCGACACGCATAGTTCGCGTAACTAAGTCATCGATTAAATTGAATGAAATCATGATCGAAAGGATAGAATTCTGTTAAATACATTTTTCATGTACACCCTGTACATAAAGGTAAAGGAAGATCGAAGGAGCAAGGAATGATTGATCAATGGCGAAATTGAAGCCCCATCGGGAGCAAGACACTAGCTCCGCCTTAATTCGGGACCAGAAACCCGTAATTTTCATTGTCGACGCCGCTTATTATTTCTCGATTTTGCAACAGCCTCGTGGCCGTACGACATTATGCAATTTAACAATGAAGAATCTGCTAGATTCTCTTTCTATCAATACTAATTGTTTTCGCAACTTGCGATTAAATAAAATTCAATTCAAACGAAGCACTGTGATACAATCGATAACGTATCGATAATGTCGCATCGTGACGTATGTAATATTCGATTACGTTCCCTACGATTCATTATTATTTCATAAATTAAATTTTCACTCACCCCATTACTGCGTCAACACACGTCCGACATTCAGCAATGCTCGACAAAAACTGCTCCGTGCTACCGTAGTCAAAGGGTACTGTTTACAATCGGTGCCTCGTATCTTGTTTACCTGCGCCGAAGGAAGCTATTAAACAGGATTATGGCACGATACAATCCCAATCTGTATTATCCTATCATAATCTCTATACCTATGTTAGAAATACTACATGGTGTAATATCAACGTTTAATTTGTTAGTTTATAGGTTACAGATTGGGTAGTTTATACATTTGCTCAATTTATATCCTATACTAATAAATCACTTAGGTTAGACAGCTACGCAATAGTACGTCAGTGTATAGTTCGAGAAGATAGGTTATAAACATTATTAAATATCAATATATTGTAATTAACTTTACCTTCAAATCAGGCTGACACAAATGCTTGGACAAAGTTGGCGGGCTTGAAACTTATTTATGATGTCACAAAGACTGGTCGATAAAGATCCACCACCACCTACACTGTACGGTCGCTGGCGCGTTACTGACTGTAGATTTTCATGACGCGACGCTGTTGAGCTTCCGGAACGTCCGTAGACGTCGCTACTGTACAATAAGAATTTTCATTACGAATTTGAAAGCTGGAAAAATATTTGCAACATATGTACATTTGAAAATTATAATAAATTTCAATATAGATAGTAATTTATTTAGTTAAGAAATAATTATAAAATTAAAAGACCTTCTCCCCGCGTTCCCACTCCAACGAGCAGGTGCAAGAAACATATGGGATAAAACTAATGGGGAATCGCTATGGAAACACATACGATGCTTCGTTCCATCTATTGAACGAATTTTGCCACATTTTTACGTTGAACGTCAAACTCTGCTCAATGAGTGCCAATAACAGTGAAGAAAAATATGACGCATCGAAGAAAAAGATGGCTTTCGTTGAAAGAGATCTTTATTTAAAACCATTGCTCAGGCTGAAGCAACAGGAGGATATCTTGGAGAAAGGACTTATTGCTGCGATTGAAAACATTAAATTAGATTCGAATTTATGGCGGGAGGTTGTTCACGAGTACAAAGAAATAACAATGAAAAGGTATCTTTTTGAAAAAAAGGCTAATTGCCTGTTTTAAGAAATTTTAATCTTTCTTATTTAACAGGCAGAATTTGTTTAACGCTATGTATAAAAATATGGAAAATATCTCTACGGAAATGGAGTCTGTGAAGCACATCGCGAGACATCCGGAAGAAATACAAAACCTAGGTATGTACATATATCCTAGTACCCTTCACCCTATAATAAATATAATTCATAAAAGGAACACGTCTGCTTGTGTTTATGTTTAGATATAAATACGTACAAACTAAAATTGATCAAACTTTCGCAAAAAATGCAGGATTTGAAGAAATCTTGCTGCATCGAGCCTCTAATGCAGGAACAGGCAGTTCTCGAGGCTGAATTACGCGAATTTCAGCCGAGTATTCAAAAATACGAGAATCTACAGAAGAACGTAACATCTTCGGGCTCGAACAAAATGGAGACTAAAAAAGAGACTCAAGATTACAAGGACGTTCATGATTTCCATGCACTGGTTGCACTAACCGGTAAATTATTTCATTTAATATTCGAAATGGGGTTGTAAGTTTCAAGGAAAAATGTTGCACAGGGCATACCGGAAACTGGAGCATGGAGGATCATCTATTTTTTCTAAAAATGCGAAAGAAATGCGAGAACGTTCCAGCTCTGGTAGCTGCTATCCAAAAGAAATATCCGGATTTGTCCGTGGAAAGTATAGTGAACCACGAATCATGGTACAAACAGTACGAAAATTTGCGGGAGAAGCAGAGGGCAGCGGTGACGGAATGGCGGAAGCGGAAGGAGCGAGAGAAAATGAGGAACATCGAGCAACTTGAGAAAAGTATGAATCTTCGCGAATCGGAGGATGTTTCGAACGAAATGGATAAAAGAAAAAGGATGATCGTTTCGAGAAAAGTGAAAAGCTGCCCGGTGGAGACGAAAAGAACAAACGAAAGCGCTGGTTCAAACACAGCCGAGAAGAAGGAGTTGATTAGAAAATGGAGGATGGAGAAGGAGAGCAAACGCTCGATGGACGAGGAACAATTAAGGATGCAGGCCAAACTAAAACGAGAAATAGAAGGGAATAAAAGACAGAAACGTCGAGAGAAGATCCAGGAAGCTTTGGAGGAGTATAGAAGGAAGAAATCTTTTGAAGGTGCATCGAAAGAGTTAAATGAACGCTGGAAAGAAAAGTACAAATTCGATGCAACGTTAATTAAAGAATTCAGGTAAAACAAATATCAGAATTCTTTGGAGCGTATGAAATCTAAAGCGATATTTACAGGAAACAGGATGAAGAATACACGAAGAAAAGAAGAGATCTGATCGAGCGTTCAAAAAAACCTAGCAAAAGCGAGACAATTGGTATAAAGAAAATGGAACTTGTGGATGCAAGAACTTATTCCACATTTTTAGAAAGTACGAAAGTTTGGAGGGAAAAATGTAAGGCTACAAGCTGGACGAATCACTCGGATGATACTCGTTACATCAAAGATATCCCAAGGATGTAAGTAACATCGTGTAATATATTAAATCATTATTTATTTATTTACACATGGATGGTATTACAGATGTATCCGATGGAGGAACGAAGAGTCGGAGGATTTAAATATCTAACACGTGTTAGCTCACAGATTGAAGAACATCAAAGTAAAATTACAACATATAATTAATATTATAATTCATCTGGTAACTAATGCGACTCTGAAAAAATATTCAAAGAAGGATTATGCAACTGTTTTCTATAAAAACAGAATAAGTGTACATATTTCCAGAAAGGATAATTAAACGATTTTCTGCAAATAAACGATAATGATATGTTTCTTACTACCCCTCCGCTAAACTAATATTTTTTTTTTTTTTTTTTACCTATAATAACAACAATATTATTATAGGTACAATTAATAGTGTATTAATATATTTTAATTCGTCGTGTAACAACGTATATTTACAGTAGCTTGTACTTACTTCGTGTTCGAAGCCCTCTCCGAGTTCTTCAGAGTCGCTTCGTCGCTACAGACGAACGAGAGACATTTTTCCTATGTATCTTTTGTACTTCGTTTCCAAAGCGGCGTATCAAATATTCTCTACAATAATTAACAGTCTTCCAAGTGTTCACGGGGGTCGATTGGAAACAAATGAGACAAGAAAAATGAGAATTGAATCCAAGTGTCGCAAGTTTCACACCCTCCACCTGTGATCCCTCCACCCTATCAACAGAAGAATCTTCTTTTTTTTTTTATTTACAATCGTTAATAAACAGGCTCTTTGTCGCTCGTTTGCCCAAGGAATCCGGAAGATGAAACTCGCAGGACGCGTTGATCGCTTCTGAGGGTGATTCACCATTGAAAACGCGACCTCAGCACAACACGACGCAGCTTTTTTCAATGATCCTAATTAAAAAAAAAAATAATAATAATAATAATAATCATAATTATAGATGGTGTGAAGGGCAAGAGGAAAATGAACGAAACCGATTGATACATACTTATGTTTATTTTTTCTTTACGAACGTACCGGTTTTTTTTTTTTTCTTCAGACGATGTACATAATAAGTTATGAGTAAAAAAAAAAAAAAAACGAGCGTTGGCATTATCCAGGACAATGGTGTGTACCGAGTAATTCTAAAAATAAAAGGATGGACCACTTTAAAATTGATTCCCACCCTGAGGACCGCTTGAAATTGTTTCCTGAGCGTGTTTCCGATAAAGGAATGAAAATGAAAAGAAACTGAAACAACAGGAAGAAGGCGAGGAACAACTTAAACGACGCGAAAAAAGATAAATTGTATTACAAGAGACGATTCCTTTTGTGTTCCCATCCCTCCCCTGAAATGGATTTCGATCGTGGATAACACCAATTCTCCAACAATTTTTACTCAAATATATAATATATACTTTCTATGAACCTTCTCTGTTCGTTAATTCGATATTCCTTTTTTGTAGCTTTTTTTTCTGTTCTTTGTCTTCGTTAGATTAGCAAATACAAAAACATAGGTGATACAATATATATATCTATGTATATATATATATATATATTTATATGTATAATATTATAATACAAATGTGCCTCGTACTGTGCTGAGTACGATTCGAGGAGGAGCGACAAGTGTCCTCTTTGCTTCTTTTTTTTTTTTTTTTTAATCTCCGCCTCTTTTGCATTCACATTTGTCGCGAACACGCTTATCCGAATTTATTAATCGCTAATATAAACGCCTATTAAAGATCACGCGTCTCTCCCTTTTTAATTCTCGAGCTGTGTATACATACATATACACACACTATATATGTATACACGCAACGTAAGAAATATAACCGCGTTTAGAATTTTACAACGTTACACCTCTTCCTTTCCACGTATCTTTTTTTTTCTTTCTTTCTTTCTTTGTTTCCTAAAAAGTTTATTACAACGAACAATAAAAGTGTCTCGTGAAACGGCATCGCCTCTTGTGTCTTAACATTTAGTCCCTCGCACTCTTAATAACACTCATTCTCTGCCAAACAATTCCTTCCACCTCCTTGTAACCCAGCTTCATTATTATTATTATTATTATTATTTTTTTGTATGTCTGTTTCTGTATAATAAATATGTACACGCGAACATTTTGTACAGTTGCAAAGACCTCCTTTGATCCTAGATTTTTTTCAACCCCGGTTAATAACACTTTTACGTCGAACGGTGTCTCACTCTAATCTTGTCCATCCCTCGGATTTCGCACCCTTTCGTTCGTATAGGCGCAACAGGTGGTCCAATATTCCAGGATTCTATGTTTTTTTTTTTCCACAGAAATTTCCAGCATCCATAGTCCGCGACGTTCGACTCGTGGAAAGGGTGTCACGCGTCCCTTTTACGATCGGCAGGGTGCTTACAAAGGGTGAGATCTTTGTAAGTTCGAGCGTAAAACTCGTCTCTTTAATTTCTACTAGCATTGCACAGTTCGGGGACGGTAAATAAAAAGAAATGAAATTCGAGTTCTTTCCTGTTTAAAGATTGGGCGATACCCAAAGGTTCGTTGAATAAATTTTCTATAATTTTGATGCAAGAAATGAGCGCGAATTGTTCGATCGAACTAGAGAATTTTATTACCTCACTTCTTTATAATTACAATAAAATAATTCCTTTGAGACGATTGTGTTTGCGTAAATAAAAAACACCGATCTCAAATGACTGTTTTATATAAAAATAGTAAACCTAAATTATCAATGTAACGAATGATAAACGATTTGAAACGCAATAATCAAAGTAGAAAGATTAATATGTAAGCGAGTATTTAAAAGAAAAGAAAAGAAAAGAAAACTTCCTGAGACGATTTTCATCGCGCGCATTCCTTGCGTTCGCGGTTAAACAATAATTTAATGAATTGCAATGAATCTTTTTTGCTGCCAGATTTATTTACGAGATATAGAAGATGAATGTACACATCTGAGCCCCAATAAAGTGCTACTTTTTTCATCGAGATTAAAACGAAAGAAGCGTAATCACCTAATAAAACTTGCCAGCGTTCAACGGCAACTCGTATTCTTTTCACTTTCGAACAGAAAACGAAACGACGTGTGTAAATGCAAAATCGCGTAGTAACCGGAAAAAGGTAACATTCTCGCAGGACGAAAGAATTTTGATCCACGTGAAAAAGTAGAAACCATCGCTTAGCGTCGTCACCGCACCAAGTATCTCATTTCGAACCATTTCGTTTCTTCCGTGTCTAAATTACAGTCTTGCAACGAGCAGCCCCGTTTCGCAGATATTTCGTCGACGGTAGTCAACTGGCCTCTTATAAACGTATAAAAAAGACGAATTACCGCGCGATGGAAAAAGCGACCGCGACGTATCATTGATAACTGCTCGTTTTCCCCAGAGAAAAGAGGACGAAGGGAAAGAAAACCTCGCTACTCGACTTATTAATTCTGGAAAATTAAGGCGAACGATGATTTCTTCCTCTTCATCGTCATTTGCCCTGAGAAAGGCTACCGTGATCGGTACACGCAGGTGTAACGAGCCCTCGATAGAAAAAGAAGCGTCGTCACGGAAAAAACGAGAGGTTTATCAAAAGAATCACTCTTGTTCTTCCTTCGCTACGGTTCTACTTATTCCTCTTTCATCCCTCAACCCTCACTCTCTCACTCGTTTCGTTTGTTTCCCTTCGAGAGTAAATTACTACATTGTAATCATATTTTTTTTCTGTTGTTGCTGTTGTGTTCGTTTTACTCCTAAGCTTGTATAAAAACGATAGTTTTTTTTTTTCCAATACACCAAAGACGAGTGCATAAAGCAAACTATATTGGGACAACATGAATTCTGAATAAATACTTAATATTACAACAAAATCTTAAGTATTCTTCGATAATGTCACCGCTATATAGTTTGTAAGAAAATAAGATACTTTACTTGAAATTTGTATATACAGATATTACAAACAACGTTTCATCATAATGCATAGGCAAATGTGTTTTCTTCTTTTTCTTTTTTTTTTTGTTTGTTTGTTTGTTTGTTTCTTTACTTCCTTTACTACACACTTTTTCTTATTTATACATGCCGTGGAGCTAGTCTAACGAATCTGTCCACCTACCTTTCTGTCTATGCACGTTATCCCTTCTCTCTTATCGATATCTCTTTCCCTCTGCTTTCGTTCTATCTTGGTTGCCTCTTTTCCTCTCGCCGAGAACATTTTCCAACAGTTCGATCCTCGAAACGGAAACGTACAACGCGTCGAACAGTTCATCCGTTCGCTCGTTTCTCGACGAACACTGAAATCTCCTGCCTTACGGGACAAGCTCCACGCACACTCACCCAATCTCTCACTTACTCTCTGCAAAAAAGAAAACTAAAAGTATCGTTTCGACGTTGCTCTGTTATTGTTCGATATTATTTACAACAAACAGTTTCCTCGGTCTGTCGACTTAAGGGGACTTGGTTCGACGCGTTCTCCGATCGAATCTCTCTCGCGTTCGATAAAAGATCAAGAAAAAGAATAAGGGAGCAGAAGAACGAAAGCAAAGACCTTTGCGGTTCGTGATCGAACCAAGTTGAACCCTTTGAATTCGCGCGAACCATCATCGAACGTTTCAGCACGGAGCGAGAAATCTTTAGACGCGCGTCCACCGCGTGTCCTAGCCAACAAGATAAACCTAAAACCGCCGCGAGGCGATCGATAATAATTATAATTCTCTCTTTCCTTCGCGCCTCGCAACTCACCCTCTCCCACTCTTTCATTCTCTCTACCCCTTTCGTCGAGTCGACTCGCAGACAACAGGTCGCACCCATCCCTAAAGAGCACCACCGTCCCTCTGTACATTAAGTTTCGGTCGCGTTCGGTTCACTTCCGGCTTGCCAGTCGGCTCGCGGTCCGTCGCGATATCAGAGCGTCCGGTTACATTGTCTCTCTTTCGCTCATCCACATCCCTCGCGAGGGCATGATTCGGAAAGAAAACAATCATTTACGCGTAGACTCGCTGGCGACACGCGTACACGCCTCGACCACCCGCGCATCGTACGTCTGTATTTATATGTACACAGGATGCGGACGCACCACCGCACTCACACTAGAAAATCAGGATCACTGTAGTCCTCGCCGCTCTCGCTACTGTCGGAGATTCTTCTCCTCTTCTTCTTCTTGTGTTTCTTCACCTTCTCCGTTTTGTGCGCGCGATGCTTGCGGTGCTCCTTCGCGCTGTCCGAGTGAGCGTGTATCGTCAGCTTTGGGACACGCGGCGACGCCATTTGCCCGGGTGCCGCGTTCATAGGCGGCGGTGGGTGCATCGGCATCGACACGGGGGGCATAGGTCCAGGGGGTGGCATCGAGTTCATCGAGTTATTCGGATGCTCGATCGTCGAGTTCATGTTCGGTTGGTACTGATTCGCAATCGGGTTGTTGCTCGTCGTCACCGCACCGTCCGCGAGTTTGCCGCTGTCCACTTCGGGGTGGGTCATCTTCGAGCTCGGGTTCTCCAACGAGTGGTGGTGGTGATGGTGTTTGCCACTCGTGTCCGCCTCGTTTCCTTCCTCCTCCGCTTCCTCTAGGTCAAACTTCAGCATCAGCTGTTTGAAATCGAGGTACTCCTTGACCAACTTCTTCCTGCCGTCGGCGTCGAGCTCAGCGTTGCTCACGCCCTCCTTCAGTCTCTGCAGGGTAGCCTTTGGTTTGAACAGTAAGTTGTTCTTACGGTTCACCGCCTTTTCGTACACCTTCGCGGCTTCCGTTGGCGAGTACTGGCTGATCTTTTGGTCGGAAAAGCCGTACAGGTCCTTCAGGTGTTGCCTTAGATTGAGCAGCAACAGGAAGCCTTGGCTGGCGGTGATGTATTCTCTCAGCAATGTCGTGTCGTTCGGAAACCTTGCCAGTAATGATTCCTCGTCCTCCTCGTCGTCCTCTTCGTCTTCCAAAGACGACATCAACTGGTCGGGCCGAGGCTGTCCATCCGGTCCTATCGAGCCTTGGCTCTGATGTTGTTGCTGGTATTGATGTTGCTGCTGATGATGGTGATGCTGTTGAGAGGACGTCGAATGACTGCCGCCTTCCTTCGGTAACAACGCGTCCTTGAACGACTGCAACAGATTCGTGCCGGACATCGAGATGATGATGTCGATGTGGTGAATGATGAACAGTGGCTCGTCTTGCACTTGATATGTAAAGTAAGCGAGATTGTCGGCCAAGTACAGCATCTGGGATAAGCTCGTTTTAGCAGACTCGTCGAATTGCTTCAGGAACGAGAGGACGATGGCTCTCCTCTGTTGCTTCGTGTTCCTCAGAATCGTGTAAAGGAAACCGTTCAAAGCGCCTGGAAACTCGCCCTCTTTCACCCGCATTCCCCTCACCGTCATGTCGTTTTGGAGAATCTTCTGCAGCCGGTAGCTCAGCTTGATGCCCAGCTGAGACTTCATGTGAATGAAGCCAGGATATTTCTTCTCAATGTCCTGCAACTGCTTATCGGCACTGTGACTGACCGCCTTCTCGCAGTCTGTGCTCATACAGATCAGATAAGGGACTATCTGAACCGGGTGCACCAAACCTTGCGCCAGGATCAACTGGATCACTTTAAGGGCCGCGTGTCGAACGCTTATGTTTGCGTGCAAAAAAGACTCCAGGATCTCCTTCACGTACAATTGGATCACAGTACTCGCCATCCCTGAGGAGACGTCACCCATTTCCTTGAGGTTCTCCTGTTTCGACATCTTAGCCCACTCCATGTCCTGCTTGATCATCCTCTTGTCCTCTTCCTGCAGGTACACCTCGACGTTATTCAGCACCTGAATTCTCATGTGAACCAAAGCGTTCTCCGAGGTGAGCAGATGATGGTACAATTCCTTCAGCTCTGGTAGCAACATGAATTCGTAATGGCGTATGCACAAAGAACCAATGGCAGACAGGGTAAAGTGTCGAATGTCGTCGTTGTCCAGGTGGACGAAGTAATTCAACGTCTCGAACACTTGATCCTTGATGTTCTCCGCCAGTCCCTCGATCACTTCCGGGTCGGTGAAGTTGAAATGTCGCAACAGCAGGCCCACGGTGAACAACGCTCTCCTGACGAACGGTCTGTACTTTAAAAGCATGGGATTCGTTGGATCTTTCTCATAAAACGATTTGTACTCGGTCAAGTGTCCGTAATATTTCTTAAAGCAGTCCCGGATTAACTTAAAATTTCTCGTCACGTTGTTAACTATGGATCCTAAACAGGAGAGACAGCTGGCTACCACAGATCTGTCGTGTTGCAATATCAACTTCACGGAATCCTCCTCGAGCTGTGCTAAAAAAGTCTCGCTAGGATGCTCCATCAACGGCACCACGAGTTCCAGGGTATGCGCCACGCTGCTGATGATCTGATAATCTCCCTGCGTCTGACACTTTAAACTTAGGTAAGGCTGTAACGTGATCGCGTGATTGACTAGCAGTTGCGGTCGTATTTTAGCGAACAGATACAAGGTTGTCAAGCAAGCGACCAATCGTTGCGAAGATCCCTTCTTCTCCGACTTCTCGGATTCTTCGAGGTTGGTCTCCTCTAGCCGAAGCACGTTCTCGATCAAGCAATCAACGATTTGTTTGCACGCAGTCAACAACGCCTTCGGCGGCTCGGTTAACATCTTTGTACTATCTTCTTTATCCTCTTTCGGCTTGAACAAACTAACCAGCAGCTGTTCAAACCATTCAAGACCCATGTCTTTGCTAGCTGCCACCACGTCCGTGATGTTCATAACTTTTCTCAACAACGACTCGGAATCGAGGGTGGGACGTTCTCTGACCGGTGTGAACCACATGTTCTGGAACACCTCCATAACTAATTTCCTAATGCCTTCCTCGTCGTTCACTCGTCTGATCATCTTCACGCATATCTCGGGAATCTTAGGGAAGTCCGGACACTCCATACAGATGTCCTTTAAAATTTTAATCACACGCTTACGAACGCTCACGCCGGTATCTAGGATCCTGGCCGACAACATGTCGTAATATTTATCTATTAATTCAGGCCTACTTAGTACGAATTTCCCTACGAGATCGACGGCTGCCTCTCGCACAGACGTCGCGTGATCTAAAAACGAGTGTTTCACCCCCAATTGCATATCTACCCGCGCCAGCACGCTTGGATCCGCCTCGACGATCATCGTCAGACACTTCATCGCTTTCGTCCTGATGGCGATCGACGATTCCGTTAGCACGTGCAGAATTTGCTTGAGGTATCTGTCGAAACTCTGGGAGAACGGCCTCTTCGAGGCTAGGTATTGCGATATTAGTTCCGCAGAATTGTAGTCGATGTAAGTTTGAAGAATATCCGGCTTTGTACCAGTACTGTACGGCCTTATTCTACTTATTATGTACTTCTTTTTCTCCTCGATGATCCTGTATGCCTCCGAGTTCTTCTGTTCGTTATTCTCGTTCTCGTCTGGATCCGCTTCCTCCAATTCCGATTCGGACTCCTGATCGCTCGAATGATGTTTGTTTTTCTTTTTCACCCTCTTCTTGTGAATCTTCTTGCTCGGGCTGTTCTTCGACTGACCGACTCGCGACTTCTCCACCGCGCAGTCTCTGTACCATTGGGCCAAATAAAAATGACGGGCGTAGCCCAGGGCAGAATCCTTCGTCCCGTTTACAGCCAGATAATCAAGAAGTACCTTCTGTAAAAAAACTGTCCTCTCCTCGTCCTCGTTCAAACCCGGTATCTCTTTATCCTTCACCTGATCGTAGTCGGAATCCTTTTGCTGCTCGATCTTGATGTCTTTTATAATCTGGTCGATGGTGGATAATTTGCATTGAGAGCTGACCGCGTCCTTTCTTAATCTGGCTGCAACTACTCCGAGGTAATCGATCGACGCTACCCTCAGAGCCATATCGGAACTTTTGTTCGAGAAATGACCCACCAGCAGATTTCCTAACAGACTCAACAGCAATTCAGCCGCTGGCCATTCGGGCTTGTTCACGGTGGCCAACAAATCTTGGACGAAATTCTCGAACAACGGCCTATAATCTATCTCCTCTCCTTTACTGCCGCACTTGTTCAGGAACACGGATAAAAAATTGCCAGCTATCCTGGTGGCCGTCTCGTATTTATTTATAATCATAACGTCCGCGTCTACGTAGCTCGTCTTCTTCTCCTCCTTTTTCTCCTCCTCCTCCTGCTGCTGCGACTTCTTCTGCTGAGGAAGTACATTGTCCGGTAATACCACCACGCACTGGATCAGTTGCAACACCAAGGCTGTTAACATCTGTATATGATCCTCGGAATTCAACCTGTACGTTCTCAAGCTCCTCTTGCTGCTCGGAAGCCGAGCTATGGATGCCAATATATCGTCCAACAACAATCTCCTGTGTTTCTCGTATTTCGTGAATATAACGGTGACCAGTTTCAAGGCGCTCAATTGAAGATCGCTAACAGACTCGACGAAGAAAGGTGCAACGCCCAGCGTAGATGCATGGAGAACGCTCGTGTCTGTTAATACCTGTATGTTCAATAATTCGGCAAGAAGACCGACCAATTCGTGCATCTTGTTATAAACCTGAAGTATACTTTTCTCCCGGACTTCCTTCATGTGACCCCGTTTCTTACGACCGCTAGAATTATAACCGTCAGTCTTTTTTTTCGCGTCTATCTTGTAAACCGGATCGAAAGATGGGTAAATAGTGTTTTGCAATTGAAATTTCATAAAAAGAACTATTCTGTCGATCACGTCCTCTAGATACACCATCTTAGGCATGTTACCAGAAGTCATGATGTGTAACGCGATCAAAGATGCATCTACAGCGCGTTGTACCCTTTCCATAGCTAATTGCATCCACAGCCGGCTTTCGTCAACATCGTCGTCAGGATCGGCGAGCGGTGATACTTTCGCTCCGTCTCGAATGTTTTTCTCCAATATGTTCAACAGTCTGACCAATCGATCGGCGGGAATCGATTCCATCGCGCCGAGAGCCTTCAACTTCGCCGCTTCGGTGCATAAATCGTGTAACTGATACTTAGGAATTAACAATTCTGGAGGCACATCACCGTCGTCGTCAAATTCGGCATTGGTTGCAAAATCTTCGGTATTTTCAAATATCGTTTCTATGGTGGAGTTGAAACGTTGATAAGTATTGGTTTCCATCAGTTCTTCCACGCTAAGCTTAGCCAATACAGGGACGAGTTTCTTTTCAATTTTTCTTATTTTTGGTTTCGAAGGTCCAAGTGACATCTCTTTCTTATCGTCATCTTCCTCGTCGTCGTCCAATACCCTTCTTCGCCTGCGCGTCTTTTCATCGCTCTTCTTCCTTTCGGCTTTCTCCTTTTCTCTTTGGACTTGACGCTCTTTCGCTCTAGCCTTGAAATATTTATTGTTCTTACCGATTTCCTCCTCGCTCTCCGATTCCGACTTGACATCATCGCGGTTCGAGATTCCCATCTTCGCGGCCCGACTCGGAGATTTTTCCGCGAACGCGGCTAAACTTTTCTGCATCAGGGCCTGGTCCGCTAACGATAATCTATCTAACATGACAACCGGTTCCTTCAATTTCTCTGGTACCGGACCGGGTATCTTCGCACCTTTCTCGGAATTGTTATTCTGTTGATGCTGTATCATCGGTGTTGGGGTAGCGCTTAAGGTATTAACCATATCGCTGCTATCCATGCTCGGATAAGATGTGGTTTGCGTCGTTGACATAAGATGTTGCGTCGTATTGTCCATGGTTTGTTTTGCCTCGATGTTGTCGATCGGTATATCAATGTCGGAAAGACCTGTTACCGGGTCGAGTAAAAACTGTTGGCTCTCTTGTACTGTACTACTTATGTCCATCGGTTGATGAGTCCCTAATGGATGGTGTACTTGTTGATTCATCATAGGGTCGTATATGTTTGGCTGAATATTAATAGGTTGATGTTGTTGCAAAGGCATATTAGCGCGCATAGGAGATGCCATATGCATGTTATGTTGAGGTGTCATGCCAGCCATATTGTGGTGTTGAGGCGTTACGTTACCGAGGGTTGTTAACGGTGTCCCAGGAGAACTCAGATGCGCTGGAGAGTACATATTTGGTTGTGGAGTCATGTTGGGCAAAGGATTAATACCAGCGGGCGGAGGGAGTACGGTTCTAGCGGCAGCGGGATGAGCTGGACTACCTTGAGGCGTTTGTCTCGACCCCGAAGAACTCGAGTAAGATGGCGAAAACCGTCCATAGTTTGCGGATGTTTGGTTGGTATGCATCATAGGTGTACCTTGGGTCCAGTTTCGTGGTGAATTATATTGGGGGCCTTTAAACACGTGCGGGTTTATTTGTAAAATTGCCTTAAGTAATTCTGGAGTATTTTGCTCGGTTTCTAAGGGCTGTTCGGTATTTGCGTAATTGTCTTTCAGTTCAATATGATCGGACGACGTTTGCGATAAGGATAATATTAACTGGGGCACTAAGTTTTCGTTTCGAACACTTAGCAATATTTGTGCTTCCTCTGCTACACGTGGATGAAACAGAAGGGACTTGTTTGTCAAAGTCTGCGGCAGCGGTGTTGGAAGGGGCATTTCAGGTAACAAGTCGGTCAGACTCGCGATACCAGCGAGAGTTGTGATTGGCACACTCGGTATAACCCCGTTCATCTTGAATTTGACTTGTTCTGGCATTACAGCCTGGACAAAAAATATTAGTAAAATTAGGTCCAGTGTCCTTACATATACTCTGAGGTTCATAGAATTATCCAACTTAAGAAACACTGCACTGGCATGTTAGAAAAGTTTTGCTCACAGTATACGATAAACATAAATCAACAGAACATATCTAAATGCACTGTTTTCACAAATGTTTAAAGAAATCATTGTTAAATTCTTTTCACTCGCATTCTCAAGACATTCTGACATAAGAAGTATTTCACTGTCAAACAGAATTATATCTAACGCTTATCAAAGAACACTAGCACTAAAGCATATACTGGGAACTTAACAAAGTCTCTTTTAAGTTCCCATGATGCACAAGACAGTATCAACCAAATTTTGATGAAGCTCGTGGATCCTCCAATAAACGGTCCATTGTTAACAATAATTTCTTGTCCTGGAACAAACAACATACCGTATCAAGTATTGTATTACTCATGTAACTAGCCTCTTATATATTTAATATATAAATGTGAGAATCTCTTCAAAAATTAGTACTCCAAAATACAAATTTTTTAAAAATTTTATTATTTTTTATATATATTATTAAATAATAATGTTAACATTATTAATTATAAGAAAAGGAGTATATATCTACATTTAAATTCATTTCATTAAAAATTTGAAAAAGTATTTTAAATATATGACTTTCACATTTCACAATGAGGTTATATTACAGAGAGATTAACAAAAACATGTTAATCCCTTCATAAAGGTTAGAGTAACTTGATACAATTTCTTTTTGTTACAAAAAAAATAAAATTAAAAAAAATTTTGAAAATCTATTGTTCACTAATTGTGCATTAAGGGCATCACTGATTCATTCATGATAATTATAAAAATAATTTATGTATTGCAGTATGATATATTATGTATACATATATATATTACAAAACCATAACAAACAGTATTTTGTCAAATTAATGCAATTAAATTCAAAATTATTTCAATATTCTGCACAGATTTGATTAAATCCATGTTAATATAATAAATAAAACACATAGAAACCAGTACACATTAGATAATATCAAAAATCAAGCTATAAATGAAACCAATGCTCTGCGTACACTACGTCACAGAATGTGTCATTGCTTTGTACAAACCATATTTATCTCAATGATTTCAATAATTTTTATCACTCACATTGATAACATTCAATTATAATGTCACATTTCTATCACTAAGATCACATAAAGCTGTTATTATTACCTCCTGTTGACAAGTAACTACCATCCAACATCATACATATGATAACATGGCCTTAGGAACGATGCTACGTACTGGAAATCTCCCAACTGAATGCAATTCTGTCAAATAATAAAATTGTCAGGGTCAGTATTGTTAACAATGTCATTTGTACGTCATTTGACAGATGAAAATAAAGTTGAAAGTCAAAGTTTTTGTGTCAATTGCCTTACCCGACTATGAACAACGATTATTTATATTGCAGAATGCGAGCAGTGAATGGAATTTTGGCGGGAGGTGTATCATTATCCAAGAACCCCGTGTAGTTCAACGCGTAGAAATCATCAATATTTACACGTCTGGGAAAAACAACGGGCCCTTCCGTCCGAATCTGCTCGCAAAACTTTTCGTCGAGAAAGATATTCACTCAATTGTCATCCGTGGTTGTGGCCTATTTGGTTGGATACGTTTTCTCATCGATCACCAAGGAATGCACTTAACTTCGTGGCACGGCACGATTTTCACTCACGTTTCTCACGACACCGCGTAAACATCGCCATGTCAAAGGTGGTGCATCGCGGGGAAAACAGTATTTATAGTGTGAATACGAGGAAAACAGACACAAAGGCGTCCATTTTGCTCAGCAGCGAGTTAGCGGAAGTTGCGTAGTAGATACAGGCTAGATACAGGTATACCGGCGCTACGGCGTCTTATTTCAAATTACGATGAACGGTTCGCATGAAAGCGATGTGGTTTATAGAAATTTTATTAAATATATATTCCTGCCATGCGATTAAACATCAACGTTTGCCACAACATATTTTCAACTGCTACTCTACGTTAATCAACAACACTGTTCAAATAAAACTATTTTTCACACTACATAGTCAAAATATTCAATGTAAGTCAAGAATCCTTACTTATCCATTGTCACAGTCAAATAGATTAAATTACAACATTTCAAAGAAACGAGGTATATAATATACAGCTATATTTGTTTATAATCAATTAATCTTTTCTCTTCTTCTGATGTAAATACACAAAAATGGCAATTATCGTCAAAAATTTTCAAGTCAACTTTCAGTACTACGTATTAACTTCGTATTCAATGATGTAATAAAAATATTTGTAGGTGGCACCACTAGTACCATTTTAATTGTGCAATCTTTTAGCAATTAACGATTAAAAAGATATTTCCCAATTAATTACGGTTTCAGTTATCTTACTTACTATTGATAATTATTAATAAACTTAATTGCCGCTTTCGTAACAAGCACTACCTCCGAATGGTAGTAAGTCATTCGCGTGTAAGGACACATTGCAAACATGACGTCCATTCTTTTCAATTTAGTAAAGAATAAGTTATACTTTAAAACATACTGAATTTTACTGCAAAAGGATAATGTGCTTTTAAGTTTGAAAGTCTGATATGTAGATGAAAAAGAAAAACACGTGTCTATATACGTGTATTTTTATATATTTCGGGGTGAAGCGTTTCAGAGAGTCATCTAACAGATCGCGCTGCGATCGAGGTAATTTCGACTCGTGTTCGAAGGCTCGAGGAAAAATAAAATTCCGAGTAAAATTTCAAAATGGCGCGACTGCTGAGTGTAAACACCCAGTTTTGATGTTGATGAGGTGCATTAGCCGCGAATTGTTCGCGTGAAATGTTCACTGTATCCACGATCGCCCATTCCATACCAGGTGAGTAACTCTGTTATTTGACATTGAAAGCGTTTTCTCATTATAGCCAATTAATATTCACACGAACATTAGACGAATGAATTTTTGAAACAGTTATTGTCCTTCCTTCACAATGATCATTTCATAATTTTCTGGCTTAAGTTGTAGACGTGATGCTACAGTACAGTATGAAAAGCAATTTTTCCATTTTATGTAATGATTCTGAACCACGCATGATTTTCAATTTCTGAAAGTTGTGTGTGTATGTAAAAGAGAATGTTTATAAACCTTCCCATCATGTAATGCATATTAATATTACTGTTAGAATATCAAAGAATGATCACAGAAATATACAGTGATATTTCTTTTGAATAGTATTGAAATTGCATTTAAAAGCTTTGTGTTCTAGTTAATACTTAGTATGGCATTTAACTTACTTTATTTTGATTAATATAAGTAATTGTGTTAATTGCAAGAGCTTATGCAAAAATATTGAAGTTGTTTTTGTGCTACTGATGTTGGGTGCCACAATTTTTACTATTTGTAGTTGTTGCAGGGAGTGACCCAAGTAAAATGACGCAGAAGCGTAGTGCTGGGATGTCACATGTTGGGTAAGTTACAAAATAAAATATTAGAATTATTTAGCATTGTTGTATTGTAATTGTGTGTATATTTGTCATATCACAAAGCATACATATATTTATGATATGATATACATACTTTTTAAGGCATAAAAGTATACATTAGAGAAGCAGGTGCTCCTAATTGTAAAGGAATTAATAAATACTGAATATAATATTTATGTAAAATATTTCAAAATTAATATTGCTTGAATTCCATAAGAAAATTAATAGCATAGAATATGAAATTAATATTAAAATATGAAAGAGGGGATATTTAAAATTTTTTTTAGAAAGAAATATTTTGTTATCGCAAACGTCGTATACTTTTACCTTCGGCACTAATTACCTAATTAACTACCATAGTTTAGAAATATACAGGACGAACTTGTTGAAGGTAAGTTGAGCATGATATTTCAATTTTATTTGTCCTCGTACTATCAATCTAAGGATCGCGAATTACAAGAAACTGAATTATTTTATTATATACTGAAAATGAAATTGATGATAAGAAAAGTTGTACATTACATAAACCTCAGTTATATAAAATATGAATTATTTAATAGAGCAGCTGCAACAATGATTCATTGTAATAAGTCACTTCCTTCGGTTACTCTCGTTAGCTTCTCTCCATTTGTTTCGATAATTCGTTTCATCGTCTGCCTAATGGATAAGGTAAACTTTAATCTAGCTTCATTAGCGGGGAATTATTACTTCATATAATTTTTTGTTGATCTTGGAGAACTTGAAGAAAATCTCAGGGAGTCTAACAATTAATTTATCAATTCGCTCTGAAAAAGGTTTAAAGATCAAAAAGAATGTCGAAAACAAATCTTCTTGTACGGTTTCCTCGTGGACCAGGTTGGCGAACCCGTCCACAGGATCGTAGCATCGGTATCGTCCTCGTGGTCCTGTTTTCTTGCACGGAACGAGGACGATGCATCCCGGTTAAAAGTCATGCTTTACACGGTGGCTGTGTTCTCCGGGCTCCACTTGGTGGGAGAAGTGATAGTCCTTAGCGGGGTATAGCACAGCGGCACATTATGCGGCTATGGTGGAATCAGTCACTGGCGAGTTGTGGGTGGTGACTAGTCGGCGACCCATCCCGTCCGATGAACGTGCTTCCGTGTTCTTTCCTTTCGTTTCGCCACAGAATCGCCAATTTTATCGATCTTCGATCCGTTCAATCGGCTTTCCTTGTGTTGTTGCACGCACGTGGTGTCGTTGCACCTTTCCATCCGTTGATCTCGCGAATTCCAAGGAACAACGATTTTCCATCGCGAAAATGTGAAACTCTATTCCTCGATCGAAGGAAAACTTAGGATTTATCATTTATTCGTAGCTTGTGAAAGTGTGGAGTTGAATAATTGTTTTCGATGAATAAAATTTGGTTTACGGCGGGAAGATCGATGGAGGATTTTGTATAATTCGTAGTGGAACTGTAGTGGAAGTGTTGCTTTCTGGAATTTAAGACAGTCTTCGGTTGATCGTGAAAGTATCAAGTTGAACTTCGGTTACCGAAGCGAACCTTGACCCACGTTTCATTTGGAAATGTAACCGAAAAATCACTGGAACAGCGGGAACTAGGAATTTTCCAAAGGAACAGCCAGAACACGAGAAACCGTGGCTTTATTGTAAATCAAAGCCGAATTTACACGAGCGATGTATGAAGCAAGTTCCGTTTGCTCGTAATGGAGGCAAGCGTCGGTGCTCGTAGGTGAAACTACGACTGAAATAATGGGTGTCATTGAGGGGGCGATCGTTTAGATTAGTCGGGTCTTATTAGGACGGTTCAGCGCGTGAAAGCGATCCATCGTGCATACTTTCCAAAACGGCACCGAAAGCGCCGACAATGCGATCCGATCGACGTCCATTCCGCGCAAAACTTGAGCCAACATCGAGAATGGAATTCTGAACATTCGCGAAACGTTTCTACCAGCGAGCCTCCTTAAACCGTGTTGTCCACTGCTGCGAAGGAAACGCGAAGAAAGATGTAACCCGTGTGGAAGGTAGAAGAAGAAAATTTCATTTCTTTTTCAACGTTTTCCGAAAGTAAAGGCGCGCGGATAATTCCTGAGGCGTGATCCATAAACATCCGTTGGATCGTGGAAAAATAGCCGGGCATATCTACGAGCAACGGGGCTGGAATATCTGGCAGATAACGCGGTGTCGTTGCGAACGGGGTGTAAAGTATCAAAGATTCGTCGGGCATAGATCTTTCCGCGAACCTCGGTAACAAGATGACGAGATAACCCGAGGGAAGGTGAACGAACGGTTCGAAGATTGGAGTAAGAATCTTCGAATCCCGTGTGAAGGAACTATGAAACACTGGGACTAGTTCTACCGTCGAATAATCTGGAAAAGTTGTATCTTAACAACGCAACAAGATGCTATGGTATCGACAATTTTCCTGAACACCGAGTACAATCATGGAATCAGGAGTTTTCCTGTGATTACCATCGACCTGTGCGAACGTTTCAGTGAAACTACAAAGAAAATTGAAAAAAAGAACACAACTCGAAGTAAAAGATGAAGAGATAATATTCTGTAGTAAGATCGACTATCGGTTTCAAAGGGTGTCGGTAGTGAGAATTCGAGGTTTAACGGGTGATAGAACCGTCGTCAAAATAGAGTACCCCGGGGGTAGCGGCATGTACGGGGGTGGTTCAGGTAGCGGAGGGTATGGGGTCGGTTTGGGCCCGGGAGCGGGCCCTTCCCATTACATACCCTCCGCAGCCTCGGTGGGCTATCAATTGGCTCCACCACCCCCACCGCCACCACCGCCGAGCTGCCCGTCCGCCGGAAGTCAGCTTCTGTCTTACGGGCCCAACCTATCGCCCCATCATATGCAGCCGACCCACACGGACGCGCAACAATCCAAAAGACGGAGGTAAATCACCTGTTTCTCTCTTTTTTTCAAGAGTCTCTGTTCACCAACAGGGATTTCTTGACCTGTCGACCATTGGCGTAACTGGAATTTTTATGGATTAAGTCCTTTGGTTTCAATGTTCAACCCTTTCTCTATGATAGCTACGAAACGACCATTGTATACTTATGGGCGAGTATAGTTTTATTCCAATAATTTTTTTTGGAGAGGGGGACCAGTTTGTATTTTGAGAGGGGGTCAGGCCCACTCTGGGCCCTGTTTAGTTACGCCAATGCTGGTGACTCGAAAGTAGGTAAAAGGGAGGAGGGTTAACGGTATATGAAAAGATAGATTTTTGGATAGGTTGACAAGATTGGTGGGCATTGGAAGAGTGTTGGTATTTTTTTCTTATGAATTGAGGCTTCTAAGGAGAGCTGTATTGTAAAGGAAAAAATAAAAGGCTGCTTGATTTTTTTTGGTCCGTGTAATCGATATCGAATAGTTATAATTAGCGCAAGAAGATGGCCAAGTGAATTCTTGACCTATATGCTTATGAAGCTGCTTTGGTGTAGCTCGTTGGTCTCTGATAAGAAAAGATACGTCGTTAAGAATGAACAAAGTCCGTGCCTGGTTTCCTTTTAGGACAGCCTTTCGAACCAGAGTCAAAGCAAAACTATCAGAATTCTTCTAACAAAGTATAGATGATTATGCTCGCGTTGTGTTACAACGTGCACGTGAATCACGTACGAAACTCTTCGCCATTTTTCATTTCTGATTCGCTCGTTCGACTGGCGATTTTCTGCGAAAAATTATCAATTTATCTTGGAATTCGTTTCAAATTCCAGTAAACAATATTTATCTACGAAAGAGAAAAATAATTTCCACTGTAAGCGTAGAAAGAAATTCTACGTAATTCAACGTATTAACCAATTAACCGTATTCGAATTATCAAAATTATCTCGAGAATCTCTCGAAATTGGATTAAATGATATACACGGATGCTAACACCGATCGAACGATTGGCGGAGGCATAAAAGAGGAGTAAGTGGAAGAGAGAAATGAGAGTAATCAGTGATAAGAGTAGCTGTTGTGCGTCACAGTGTAAGTTCGATAAAAAATAATAATAAAAAATGGGGAGAAATCTGTTTCTCTAAAAGAAGGTCTCGATCGGTGAAGCGAACTTTGATACTAGTCAATGACGAGGTAGAATCGTCGAGTTCTTCATGAAATCTATCACGTAGACCCGTTATCAGCTCGACAAAAAGATTTCGCGGTATCGTTAATAACAATTCGTCGTAGAACAGGCTGCGGATAGCGATTGGTCGCGAAACTAAAGAACTCTGCTACCCTTGAATCAAGATAGTCCGATTATCGGTGAAACTCTCGTAAAAACTACGTGAACTATCGTAAAACTGTTTTACCGCTACCAGCTTCGACGTAAACGGCAAGTTGATAGCGAATTCAACAACTCTTAACATATTGTTTTGTTACAAAGGCTTCTGTAGATTTTTAATAGTTTCCTTTTGTTGTATCAGAGATAACATTCTCTTACACTATTAACAAATCATTTTTTCTAAAAATCTACTCCCTAATTTTAGAGAAAATTGTTTAATTAATAATTCATTAACCCTTGCACCCTTTCATCTTAGATAAATTTCTCCTGAAAATTCCTCAAAGTACGGGAGACTTTAATGCCCGCACTAATGATTTTTTAAGAAGTCATCCATTACACCCCCTGTTTGTCTTCAATAATGGAAAAAAGCTGGGTATCATTTAGAAAGGTGTTTCTTGTAGATCGAATTCGTATTAGAATGTTGGGAATGACTTGTTACTCGTGGGGAGCTGTTATTACAAGATCGGCAACATTTTTTTTTCTTTTTCTCTGAAATACAAAACACGTCGACGAAACGGATTATAAATAATGTCACGTTTTGGCGGAAGTAAATTGCTTCATTATTGTACAATGTCTTGCGTAACGTCAAACGGGCCTCATTATATATACAAAAGGACTGAAAAACGAATATACGACTTCCTCATACTTCGCCTTCGGAAGATGCTAGAGGGGGGATTTTAATGTTTATTGCGTGACTGTTTTTCAATCGACACGTTCGTTGTCATCGTTAGTCATCGTTCTTATTAAATGATTAATTAACAGGCGAAGAAAATTCGCAGTTGAAAAGAGGAAAGACGTTTGCTTTTCATTTTTATTTCTAAATACTTTTTATTTTTTTTTTTCAATTTTTCTTCATATAAAATCGTACGCGGTCTAATTCCCTGGCAACGAATGAAATGCCGAGTTACGACACGGACGAAAAGGCCGAGTAATAAATAAATGTTTCTGAAGGAAAACAAAGCGACAATTCTTTTTGTTGTTATACGTAGAGAAATTCTGTATGCTCGTTCTTTACACAAACCCAGCATGTAAAAGAGTTTTGGGTAAACAAACGTTTCGATGTTTTCATCTTACCACAAACTTAAACGTTTTTAAGGACACGTTTTCTCGACGAAATTATCTGTTGTTTATTTCTCAATCTTTCGAACGATTATTTCGCAAAATTAAAAGATACAAAGAAATCTTGATTTTCATTCGAGGATACCTTATCGAAGCGGGTCCTTTTGGAGTTTCGGGTTGAAAAAAGGAAAAATAAACGATCGATCTCTCGCGACAAAACGGGCCACGTTTCGGAGCGTAAAAATTCTTTGTCCGCGAAAATGGCCCCTCGAAATGGTCGAGGTGAGCGCGGATTGGCATTTCTACGATCGCGTAAAAACTCGATCTATCGAAAGGGCAACCGTTGCCGGTGGTATAGCCGTGAAAGGGAGTTTCTTTTTTTTTTTTTTTTTCATTCCCCACCCTTGCTTCTGTTTCTTTTGTCAGCCTATTATCTTCGCCGGTTATTCTCACTTTCGTCGAATCCGACCGAGTCACGCTTCATCGACTCCTTCTTCTTCCTCTTCTTCGTCAACTCTTGCAGAGGACATTCTTACGGTTCCCCAAGGCACGAACGAATCTCTCAACCTTGAGGATATAACGAACTCCTAGTTTGCTGCTTTTTACCAGAGAATCCCTATGTTTTGTTGGCGATGAAACGCGATAATAAGATCGATTCGATTTCCCTCGGACTTCTGCCTCGGTTTTTCGTCGCTGATCTAACGAGCCCTTTAATTAACACGTTATCCAGAAATCAGCATCGCCGTAAGGGTTGTAAAAGGAGAAAAGAAAGAAAAATTTGGAATAGAGTTAAGCCTTAGAGTTAAAACTATTTCTCTAGATAATAATTTGCGGTAATGAACGCGTTAAATGTTTTTTACACGCTGCTTTCTGCAACAAACTCGCGGTAATGCTCGTCGATGCTGTATGACATAAATATGCATTATGCGATGCGTTTAGCGAGCGTTACTAATAAGCTCTTAATTATGAACGAAAATAATATGCGCGACTGATTCAGTCTCGAAACACACTTTTCTCGTCGTTCGTTCATCCGGTTCAATGAACTTGTTGCTAGAACAGTGTTGCAATTTCATTTTTCCAATGAAACCAAGTTTTCGAGTGAAAGAAAAAGAATAATTCGTAGATAAGATGAAAATATTATGATAAATTATTCGGTCAATTTTAACGGTACTTCGTATTATATTTTTGCACTTTTTTACATGAATTATGAATTAGCTTTTAAAATGCATTTCGTACGATATGCAACTGCAGCGTGCGGAACGAAAAATGTTACTTTGTAGAAATTGAATAACCTATTATTCTAAGGGAATTAATTATAAAAATAAACAGGCTTCGAGGTAGCGGTACCAATTTGATTCACGTTTAATTCGTCCTGGTATTTCACGGAGTAGAATTTCATTCATGAAACGGATAGACAGAGGTTTCGTGATATTCCCGTGGAAACTGGAAGATCGATCGCGCGAGAGTTGATCGTCCGAAAATGGCGATGCTGGTCGAAGAATTCCCTATGCCCGGGACATTACGTAACGGTAATGATCTGGTAATCGGCTGCGTGAATTCGCGAACGGCCACAAATCTCTGCTACGTGACGAATTCTGCGAGCACCGGGTTTTGTTTGGCGATAGCACGTTCGATGCACGTGGTCGAGCACACCGCGTTAAGCTCGACAGCATTAGACGCAACGTCGGCTCTCGTCGCTGCAACCCTTCCTTCTCTACTTTAACGGAGGGATGAAATTAATTTTTTTATTAACCTTCGTAACGAACGCAACGCCTCTTACTTTATAAAGAAGCGTGCCATTCAAAACGAAGCGTTAAACGAAAGAGACAACGAGCTGTTACACGGTGTACGAACATGATTGCTGGCAATTAACCAGATTTCTTGTTTCCTTTTCGCTGGCGTGACTTTCCGCTCGAGGCGAATCCTGCACTCCCGAAACAATAAGGGTTTCCTCAGCCGTGAGAATGCTCTAGTTCCTCGTCGCTTCCATTCTACCGTGAAACGATCGAGAATCGACCGATCTTTTGTGTCTTTTGTCGCGATTCACCTGTGGATTTTCGATGAAAATTCACCCTTCCGTCGGCCATTGTTCCTCGACTAATTTCACGGTTAACGAACCGAAAGCCTGTGTACAAATCTATTTCCACGTTCCCGAGGAAATTACGTCTCTCTGTAAGTGAAAAGGGGGTGAAAAGAATGGACGGGTCGATCTCGGGGGATGGGGTGTTTTTCGATGGCACGAAGCAACAGGTAGCGAGGGTCCATCGACGGGATTCTTCATAAGGGTTGATTCTAATAGCCTTTTATTTGAATTCGAATAAGGTCCGGAGGTAGTTACAATATTCTGGGAGCCTTCGATTAACCCTTAACTTTAGCACCCTGGACGCGTATTACGAGGTAGCCGTAGCCCGAAGGAGAGCTGTCGATTGCCAAGCACGCCAGGAAGGCGTCGTTGAACGATGAAGAAGAAGAAGAAGAAGAAGAAGAAGAAGAAGAAGAAGAAGAAGAAAAAGTAGGAGGAGAAGAAGAAGGGACAGAGACGAAGAGGAACGGTGTCCACGAGGTAGCTCTCGGGCCAGTGATCTAACACTTAGCCACGTTAGTGTGCGAGTTTTTTTCATTAGGAGAAGCGGTAATGTCGGCGGTGAGTGTTCGCATATTAAAAGGAAAGAGCGAAGCTATTGGCGGGCCCAAGGAACGGGCCCAGGAGGCGGTCCATCGTTCTCCAAGTCCGGAACTCTTATCCGTTCTCCTCCGACCTTATTGGTCACCGCCTCCTCGATCGCTCCTACCGACCCCTGTTCGTTCCTTGCTACGATTTTTCCGCGACTCACGATCGCCTTTACTGTCCCTGCCTTTATACTCTTCCACCCGCGTTTCGTCGATACCAACCGATCGAACTTTTTCCCTTTCAACCCCTTAACGAGTTTACACCATCGTGAAATTTATTTTTATTTTATTTTTTTTTTCAAATTGAAATATAAAATTGAGATCCTCTAAAAAGAAAATTTTGATTTTCAAATTTTACGAACGATCCTTTAACGTCGCTCGTCGAGCAGCGTCGGTTTAATTAATCAATCCCGGAGGGTGAATGATTGAACGTTTAATCCGGGAGAAAATTGTCGGCTGGTTGGACAAAGTATCCAGCAGCGCGATCATTGCTATTCGCAGCATGTTAAGATTGATTACAGCGTATGTAACGCCGCATCTCATTAACGAGGGAGGGGAAGATAGCATTAGAAGAAACCTGGCCGACGATACTGGCCGCGCTAAGAAAGGGTTATCAAGACATTATTACGATCCTTATACGCAGGATAATGGTCGATGAGAGAACGTGCTGTTGCCAGATTAACGAAGCTATTTGTTGTTTTTGCCGTACGCTGCCGGTATCGGGATTCGCGTGTTAGCAAGCTCGTTAAGGAACTTAACGTATCCTCTCGAAACGTCTCTTCATTTTCATCTGTCAAATTAATGAATTGAAAGAAAAATTTCATTGATAAGAAGAAGAACATCGTCAACGGTGTAAGTGGAAGGAAGAAGTAGAAAAAAAAAAAATCGAAATCCGATAGTCGAACCCAGTCACGAAGGAAGTAATGATTTGCATACAATTTCATGTTGCGATTGAACAACGCAATTTGATATACGTAATTAGATTTTCCTCGCTCATTGATTCTCCGTCGTTGAGAATCAATCATCGTATCAACGTCAGCGTTAGGAATAGAAAATGAATTCCAGAAATGGAGAAGGGTGGGTGTTAGCTACGCGATCGGGTAATTCGCGTCGCTTCGAGACACCTAGGATCTCTACCGCGTTCAACCGCTTCCGATGATTTACTATCTCTGAATAGAGGAGATAAAAATCTGAATCCTCTAGTTCTCCATTCCCACGGCGTTTGCGGCTACAAATTATCGAGTGCACCGCGATACAAGAAACGCGGAGGATTTCTGATCTGACTGTAAAATCTACACGTGCGCCGCGACCCTCTGGAATCGGTAGACACTTTCACCGTGTTACGATCGGTATCCAAAATGTCGCGTCGAACTTGTTCGAGAAGCTTATCGATGTTAGAAATCAGATATGAACGAACAATAGAATAGAAGGCTCCGTAGGTGAAAACGAGTTCGGATACCGGACGAAAAATTTTGAAATATCCTTCGCGATACGTCGCCGGCAAGTTCTGAATGGGTCCACGAAAAAGTAATTCCGTCCCTATCGTGTCAGTTACTCAAAGCGACCGGCTCGTACGGTGGCCCGGAAAGGTCCCAGCTTCTCGAGAGGACATCGCGTTTTCTGCTTACCAAGCATGCATACGTATCTGTTAAGTCGACATAATACCGCAGGGCGCATCATTATGTACTCCATAAGTCTGCGGGCCCTATCGCCTCTCTTCGTCTCGTCGGAGTCGAGCCAGGGACCTCGGCTGCTGGGAGCAAAAAGGAGACCAGAAAAAGAAGGTTCCAGGGAGATTCCGTGGTAGGAAGGGTGGGAGGGGAGGGGAGTAGGAATATGGAGCCTTCTCGGTGTACCCGGATACACTGGCTGCGGGCCCTACACCACCCCCACCTCTTCGTCTTCTGGGGACCCACGAGGCCCTGGCGTTAGAGGCAGGAGGAGGGAGAGGGAGTAGATGCTGGCTGTAGCTCTTCGTGGCGTTCACCAGAGCAAAGAAAGAGAAAAACAGGAAAGGAAGGGGGGATTGGGGAAGAAGGGGATCTCAGTTTTTCGCTCAGGGTCAGAAGCGTACATCAGCCGAGCGCCTTGTAATAGACTGACTGACGATCGGCCTATGGATTTCCATTAGGTCACCCCATAAGCAATCCCTTTTCGAGTGAAATTCAATTTTTTTTTCTGATAACTTCATCAACGACTCTTACTTCTGCTACAATGTGTGTCCTAGCTGTTGATTGGTGCCGGACACACCTAAATTTTTTACCACATGACAGTTACTTTGAAACGTGCGGACGTTTCAAACTATCTAGTTACGAGAAAAGAACGCGGCTAGAAGTTGAGGAATTCGATCGGAATTTGACATGTAAATAAGCTGGAGAACGTTAGAAACATTCTTTACGTGGGAAGAAACGGTGACAATTTTTCGATGATGATTTCGTTAAAAAATGATTTTGAATACAACGCGATTTCTCGTCGATGGTGATGGTGATTCGATTTCCAGAGAACAGAACGTGAATATTTCATGAGACAGCCGTCTATCTTGGCTAACTGTTACACGACGCTCCAGATTTGGGGAAGTTGGATAGAGCGACGGCCAATTTTGTAAGTGCCGGTAGTCGCGTTTGGTAATCCGGAAGTGATTACACCCGGCGTATCGACGCGACATTTATTCGCTACGTTCTTAGAATATCGTATCGGTCGAACCGGCCAGATGGCACCTTCTTTTACGAGTTTCGTCGAACGTACTTCGGCGAACGAAGGTCGGAAAGCAAGAATTTTTTCGCTTGTGCTGCCTTTTGCGCAACGAATCTTTTGGAGACAACGCTCGTTTCAGGCTCGATATCATTGCCACGTGGCGAACACTCGTGTTTTTCTCTTTGATTCTAGGTCGTTGAATGATTGATTCGCTTCCGACTTCGTTAAACAAGGATTCCATCGAAGGTGGAACGAATGTTACACGAGTCACCTTAATTTTAATTTTAATAGATGGGACAAGTCCCATTAGTCTACATAAATGAATTTTACAAAATTTAATAAAAGCAGGTGGGGTGAGGAGTTGTAAAAGTTGAAAGTTACGTTACCTATAAAAATCTCTAAAATCATGATTCTAAATGATCATAAATATTTGTATATTTGCAGATCCGACGAGGATGATCCTAACGGGTGTAAATATAGAAGGCTGGAGGACGAGAATGTACAGGACAAAGAAAGATTTGCGAGGTGAGTGTCAGGCTCGACGTGCATGTTTTCTTACAATAAATGAGAGAGGTCAGTGAACGGGTTAAACATCCGTTTTTCTTTTCTGAAGAAAAATGCGTCTTTTTATTTGAAAAGAATAACAATCCTTAATTCGAAGGATTAATTAAACATTTTCAAGGAATCTCAGTACCATCGATCCACATTTCTTCGTGATCAGGAGTCAGTCTTGTTTCCTGATAGCCGTCGAGACGTCATTGTTAATTCGTATCACGAAATCCTGGCCCAATATGTTCCACCGGTACACCCTGTACATGCCCGGCCAAGTACGAAGATACATACATACCTACATGATATAGCCGGCAATGTGAGTCGATAGCGGAATGGGAAGCCCTGCAGGCTGCTCCAGCGTGGGAACATCAGCCACTTATACGTGCTCGCACGAGTACCGGGTCCTTTAAGTCCTTCCATACCGAAGACATCGGGATGTAATCTCGATCTTGCGTCGCGATACGCTGCTTCTTGACATCCGCGATATCAAATACGAAGAACAATTTCGTTCGTACAGATTGATACTGGATTTCTGGAGTCATCACCGAGGGTAGCGTTTCACGTCGGAACCGAGAGAATCGCGCGGGAAAATGATCAGCTGATCGAAGGAGCGCGGGTTTCGTGGCAAAAGTTTTGCTAGCCACAAAACAGAGCCCCGATGTCGCGAACGCTGGAGGTACCTCGCTTTTAAGTTAATAACGCAATTACCGGCTGCCGCCGCAAGCCGCGCCAACCCTCTTATCCTCGTCCTCCCGCCTCTTCGTTTTCTCTCCACCGATTATTCGATCCTTCCTTTCTCTCTTCGCCTTCTTACCGGGGATATCAAAGATTGTCACGTCTCCTGTCCGTGTCTTGTTTTTCGACTGGAATAGTGTCATCATCGTAGGAATCATCCCTCGGATCGCCTGTTCAGAATCAGTCGTTAGCTTTGAAGCAACATCGAACAACCTTGCCCTCGCGGAATAAGATACGTTGATGGAAATTATTCTCAACCTGGTTACAGTCGTTAGATTCCAGTCTTCCGTTATCCGTAATGCCAGGCCTGATATTATCCAGGCACGATGAAATTATAAAACCATCTTGTCGAAATAAAGAGAAACGGTAAATTTTCTTGTTATTCTACCGTCCCTGCGTTGCCAGTAATGAAACTAATTCAATGATTCATCGTCAGTCAAAATCACCGAGGTACATTGAAACGATCACTGGTTAGATAGCACTTGCGTGGTAGTAAATGTACAACGCGAGAAAATTTATCGTCCCCTGGGTCACTCGTTTCACTCGGATGGTAACATCTTCGTTTGAAAATGATTTAAACGGCAGTCAACTGGCCGCGTATTCGCCGTTCCATTATTTTATGATTACCTTATACGGCGTTTGAATAAATTTCGATTCCTGTCGTAATGAAATTAAATTCGCTGCTTCGAGCAACTCGGAAATTCGTTGAAAAATCGAGGAGAGGAAAGATTGTTATCCCGTTGGGAGCGGAAAACGGGCAGATATGTCCGATTAGCATGCAGAATATTAAGATTTGGCATAAATCAGTCGACAACGGTGGGCTGGTTAGCATATGTCCGCGGACTCAGTTGCGCGTTCGGAATATATTTGATAACGAATACGATCGCATTAAACGGTCCTCGATCGATTCATAATTCATTTCATTGTTCCACCGGTGTCTATAACTTCTATCGGGAGGAGTAGGTACCATTTGATCGTTAGACGAATCCATAATTCACGCGCGGACGTTGTCGTTCGTAGGATTCTCTGGTAATATCGAACGTATCGATGATGATGATGATGATGATGATTCGAGCGATCTCCTTTCCTACGTGTTCTCTCGCGTGTACATGTATGCCGAGGAACTCGTTTTTTCCCCCTTAGAACGATTTTATGTGTGCGGTACGTGTATTTCAGTGCCGACTTTGTATCATCGTAATGCTGGCTTCGATGTACAGGGTGGATCTCCATCGAGGATGGGTCTTTTTCGTAATTCTAATGTTGCTGGATGAAATTGTAAGCTCGTGAAATATTACTGGGCACAGAGTATTAATTTTCTTTATTATACATTTTCCGGTAGCCCGAGTAGAATAATTTGCAAATCCTTTACACTTCATTTCGAGATTTATTGAAAAATTTTAATGAATAAATTTTACCTGGACTCCGCATCGGGAAAATTGAATGAAAAATGAATTTTATGAAATTGAGTAATATTTTAAAATAATGGGAAGAAGAAGCTGAAGTGGAAAAGATGATCGTTGCTGAATAGGGACACCCTGTACATAGTTTGCTGGACCCACAGAGCCGAGCGGGCAACTTCGGAACGTCTGACCCTTGACCCAGGAGTTCTCTCTATCCTGCTCCTTGGATCGCGTTCCTCTACTTCTGCCCCTTTCTCTTCATGTTCCTCTACCGTCCTCCACGGTACATACCCTGCTTTATACTTGCGCTTTAAGCGCTCTGGCCTCTTTTAAATAGCGGCCCTCTGCTCCGGCCTACGTCGTCGGGGAACCTTACCGATTCCCTTCGACTTCCAACCAAATGAAAGGTCCTGTCTGCTGGAACCTTCGGTTCAAAATTATCCACCGACTTTTGCTCCTTTTGCAATCTTCGATGTTGCATGTTCAAGTTGAAGTCCCTTTTCGATTACCTTCGCTTCGGATCATTTCTGAATCTTCGCGATTATTATCAAAATAAATTAATTTCTCTTTCGGTCCTTGCGACCTCGATCATTTCACTGATGAAGAAGTATGACTGTAATTACGAGACTCTTTGATGTCGGCGACATTCCAAACTAATTACGTTACGTTAACGACGCTTTCACCGGTACTCTTCGTCGACTTTTCTCCGGGGAACAAAATGGAGAATGATTTTTCTTGGACGAGGTCGCGATGTTTCAGACGGGGTGGACGTCCTGGACGCGGAACTTAAGCAGAGGTCAGTGTTCACCAAGCGAAGATATTAGTCTGCGAGTCAATTTGAAACGGTACCCTTGTCTTTCGCTTTTCTTCTTTATTTAGGTATTTTCATTTCGTTCCTGGCTTGGATACCAGGATTCTCTACTTTAAAAATAATTTATATTTAACACTCTGTAAGATCCAAAATCAAGTAGGTGGATCGATGATTAGGATAAGAGATATTAGAACGGTGTCAGGGTTCACGAATGATTAAGAAATAATATCCTCGGTTGGCAAAGGATGCGTGCATATATTATCACTGGTGTAATTTCCAAAGTATCGCGTGAGTTCTCTGGATCGAGGTTTCGTTCGTGAAATTATCAGGAATTAAATGCCATTAAATTTACGATTGCTCGACGCCAATTACCAGCTCGATGCCGAACAGACGTGCGCCGTTACTAGCGGCAGTTACCCTCTGGTAGCGTAATAACAGGGGACCACTTGAAATTGTGGTTTCACCCGATATCCCTTGTCGATGATGCATCGTTTCACAATTTATTGGCCACCATTGATCACGAACAACCCTTATCAATGACGTCGCCAGATGGAAAAATCGCTTCGGCCGTCGGCGAAATTCCGGTGAAATTATCCTTTTTCTTTTTGATAATTCCTCTGAATTCCAGCCTCTGCATAATCGTTCCCCGAAGAAGGATATTTGATCGCGTTATGAAGAATTTTCTAAAATATCCAAGACGCATTTTTCACCAAAGATTAAACGTTGAACTATGCAATTACCTTGGCTTTGTCTTGCGACTTACTGCAGGGAGAATCATTGCGAAATCGAACGGCGGCGGCGGAACAAGATGACCGCCTACATCACCGAACTCTCGGACATGGTACCCACGTGTTCGGCCCTCGCGAGGAAACCTGACAAATTGACGATACTCAGGATGGCGGTGGCCCATATGAGGGCTCTCAGAGGTGAGTCCCTTAATTCGACATCCCTTATGTCTCTTTACCTAACCGTGATATCACGGATATTTTCCAACCTCGGTATACATCAATAAGTCGCGGTCTGTAAAATCAAGCTGTATCGAGCGTAATTCAATCGGGCCGAGTCAAAGCTTCGCGATCGCGTTGCCAAAGTTATTTTGCTGCTCGTGCCGGATAACTTAAACATCGTCGAAGCTTAATCGTCACGTTCCGCATTGAACTACTTTGTGCCTTATCGGACGGCCACGTCGGAAACGTATATTTTTCACGGTAATTAACGTTTCGGCTTATTAAATCCATCTTTCCAATTATTCTACGATAAAGGCTTATCCAAGTTATCCCTACATCCCCCGGTCACTGTCGTCCAGAAACCATTGGTCCAACTCCCCGAGTCCTCGAAGAAGCAAGAAACCGAGAGGGATGACGAAGAGCGAACCGTTTCTTGTCATTGCGTTCTCGAGGAGGAAAATTCATCGCGGATGGTAGCGGTCGCGTACCGGAACGGTCGTAATTCACCGAAGGTTTCGTAGCTGGCTGGTCATATCGAATGCAGAAAGCGCGATATATGCTTCCGGTGCAAAGATGGGTGGAGTTGCTGCCCCGTACGTCGGCTGTCCCTTTAGCCCCGGTCCCCTGTTGTTGCGCTGCGTGTCCGCACACATTTCAAACCATCCTCATCGGTCTCCCCTTCTCTTTGAATCTGTGTGCGTGCCGTAATTCCAGCTAAGTATTGGTGGTGCGTCGCATTGTTTATAGCCACTTCTCCTCTTTCCCGACAAGAGGGCCGCTGAATACAAATTGCTCGAACCGGAGAGCTCTCTCCTCTGTCTCTTACCTGACCGGAGGAGAGGAGAGGCTGTCACCTCCGGGATACGTCGTGGCTCGTTTGCCGCGTACACGCACCACCCTCGTACGCGATGCACCCGTGGGACCACGGGATTTTTCCTCAAACGATCCGCCAGATTTTTATTAACGATTCAATTCGGTAGAATGACTGGAAAGAGAAGAGAAGGCTGGGGGTTGTCTTAGCGTGTTCGGATAGTCGATTAGTTAATTAACGAATGAAATAAATGTCTGAATGAGTAGAAAATTGAGTGGTAGATCAAACGATGAACGAACCACCGAGCGACTGTTATCGGTACGAGAAAGCAGATGTCCCGAGTGAAAAGGAGATTTCTCGTATCGTTGAATCTCGATCGTAACTATGATTTATATTGTCGGTATGGAAGGATAGTGTATTACATAGATCCAGATTAAAAGCGTGCCAAGTTTGCCGGGAGTCATCGTTATCGCGCGCGAGGTTAGAGAGGAGGGTAGGAAAGGAATCGTTGCAGCATTAATGTCCATCGAAGAGGTTCCTCTACGTGGAAGGTAATGGTAACGAAGGTCACCCGGGGTCTTCCATAGATCTTGTTTGGAAGTCGTTAAAGTACCTCTTCCCGGAATTCCTCCGTATATCGGGGTAAAGATCGCATCGCGACCCTCTCTCTCTCCTTCTCTCTCCCTATCTCATTCTGGTTCAGCTCGCTCGCGGGATCCTGTCCGCTTTGCAATTCCGATCTTGCACCTCGATAGTTACCTACGCTGCCGAGTTGCCCCGTCCTCGTTTTTGGTACCCCCGACTCTCCTTCTCCCTCTCTTCTTTCGTCCTCCTCTTCGACCTGACACTTTTCGTTAAATTTTCCTCTGTCTTTTATACCCGAGGATCGACGACGTTCGTGATCCACACGTAGAAAAGTAATCGCACGTATCCATCGACAAACGTTCGTTTCGTCCGAAAAGTATCCCTCGTTACACGTGCGTTCGCAAGCGCAATAAGAAGAAATTTCTTTTCCGAAAAATCAATACCAATTACTTGTAACTGAAACGTAGGATTTGACCTGTCTTAGGTACCGGAAACACGAGCCCGGACGGCGCCTACAAACCATCGTTCCTCACCGACCAAGAGTTGAAACACCTTATCCTGGAGGCAGCCGACGGATTCCTGTTCGTCGTCAACTGCGACACCGGAAGGATCATGTACGTGTCCGACTCCGTCGCGCCGGTTCTGAATTACACTCAGAACGATTGGTACGGCACCAGCTTGTACTCGCAGGTTCATCCGGATGACACTGAAAAAGTGAGGGAACAGTTGAGCGGCGGCGAGCCACAAAACGGAGGCAGAGTGCTGGACCTGAAGACGGGGACCGTGAAGAAAGAAGGCCAGTGTGAGTAGAAGAACAACCTTATTTAACGTCTTTACAACACCCTGACCGATCGTAAAATCTTATTCACAGCGTCGATGAGACTGTGCATGGGCTCAAGAAGAGGCTTCATCTGTCGCATGAAGGTCGGCAATCTCCAAACGACGGGGGACATGGCTGCTGCCCATGGACTCCACCGTATGAAACAGAGAAACTCGTTGGGACCACCGGCCAGGGACGGCCAGAATTACGCCGTGGTTCATTGTACAGGGTATATCAAGAGTTGGCCCCCGAAAGGTGAGTTTGCTGCGGGGTTCCAATGTTTCGTCTGGGATCCGTGGACATAACGGGTCGACCGCTCGACGTAGCGCCAACTTTCTATTTTAAAGCGAGGGAGACGGTTGTGCAGCAGGAATATGAACGAACCGGCGGCTTCGTAGAATACGAGGATAGCGACGTTTGTACTATAAATTAAGAGGCCGGCCGGAGACGTACAGCAGGACGGATAGTATGATCGGTTTATAAGAATGAATGGAATCGTCTTGACCTAACAGCCGACAGAACGATCGGAATACCGATAAACTATGTCGAGACGGTCTGATGCGGAATTTGTATGCTTTATCGTGACCCTCGATGCATAACAAAAGGGTTTCGTGATGATTTTCGCGCATTTCCGCCTCGAACCGAGTCTCATCGATGATTATCATCATCTTTCCTTTCTTTCAACCTTCGCGTGCACAATTATTATATTCGAGTATAATAAATTAGTCAGATTACCGTAACCTTAAGGTAGGCTAGATTTGTTAATTTTGTTATATGCCAGATGACAGAGAGCCTGCCATTGTTCAAGTGGGACCAGATGGTGTGGTCTCAGAGGATAACGTCAGCGCTCATTACTGCCTGGTTGCGATCGGGCGATTACAGGTCACTAGCACACCAAATAGTAGCGATTTAGCAGGTTCCAATAGCAATAATGGTAAGGATTTCTTATTCATTCTTCCACCAAGATTACATCTAACTTCGAACACCTTGATGTTTCAGAATTTATTTCACGTCATTCTGCAGAAGGTAAATTTACCTTCGTGGACCAAAGAGTGGGCGGAATTCTAGGGTACACGCCTTCCGAACTCTTAGGTCACCCGTGCTACGAATTCTTTCACCCAGAGGATTTGACGCACATGCGAGAAAGTTTCGAGCAAGGTGAAACACTTGTGAACCGTAGAGAAAAGCATTGATACACGGCTTCATTGTTGCTAATGAATACCCTTCCTTTGCAGTGCTGAAGCTGAAAGGACAAGTTGTGTCTGTGATGTACAGATTTCGAGCCAAAAATCGCGACTGGGTGTGGTTAAGGACGTCCGCATTTGCATTCTTAAACCCCTTCAACGACGACGTTGAATACATCGTCTGCACGAACACACATGCCAAGTATGAATCGTTAAACCGAACGCATAAATTGTTTTATTCTATTTAGTTCGCTTTGTGCTACTCCGTTCTGAAATTGTTAAGGTCATTCCATCCTGGTAGCGATGGTCAGACAGAAAATGAAGCTGTACCTGCTTATGGACAACCTGGTTTAGATTATTCTCTTCAAAGACATCCTGCCAGGGATCCTCTATATTCTGGGCACCACATGATGCAGCACCCGGCAACTGTTGCTACAGCTGGTAAAATATCAATTCTGTCAACAAAAAGTCATTTGTTCATAAATTTTTCATTTTCAAATAATTTCTGTCAGGTCCTCAACAACCTAGGCCGTCTAGTACACAAAATGTCTATCAAGGGTACGAGACGACGCAATCGCCGATAGCTTATGGCTCGCCCGGACAGCAAAGCGCGTCCTCTTCAGTTTTAAGTAGAATTCAAAAACCAGCTAACACCTCTCCAACTCCTGTACAGCAGGCGTGGGCCATTGGAAGACAGGTAAGCGTAGTTTGTCATTAAAATTTCGACAAATTATTCAATGGTATCGCTCTCTTACATTAGCAACCAGTAACAGAAGGGTATCAGTACAATCAATTAAGTCCATCGAGGTCACCGAACGGACCAACATATACTCAATTAAGTAGCGGTGCTAGGACACCAGCTACCCAGTACCACGCAGTCACAACAGTACCTAATAATCCTGGTAAGTAAAACTTTGAATAATTTAATATACCGATTCGTAAAACATAATTGGATTCCGTCAGGCATGTGGGGATGGCAAAGCCAGCAACATCAAGCACCTCAACAAGACGGTGGACAATCGAATCCTCAAGTTGCTGCACAGGCCCAACCACCTCATCCTTCTCAAGGTGGACCTGGCACGCAACCCCAAGAACTGTCAGATATGTTACAGATGCTGCAAGATCAAGGTGGTGCATCTGGTTTTGAAGAATTAAATATGTTCAATACTAATTTTGAGTAGCGACAAGGAAGTAGCAGGCCTGATAAACATCTACCTTAAAAAAAGCTTTAAGGTTCGAATCACCGGTAGAGTCCCGAGATTGTTCCGAGTATCGTAAGCCACACTTTTAATTTCGGCATTTTATTTAATTTTGTAGGGATTATTTGAAATAAAAAAAGTAAATCCCACGTGCCGGGTTCAAGTAAAATGATACGGATAAGATTTATTCTATAAAATTTCATCTATATGATATGTCTTACACACAATGAATCTCACAGAATTCTCTAAACTCACCATCACTCACAATAGCTCACAACTGGCTCGTTACTCTCTATACTCTTCGTGTATCACTTTGTCTTCTCAGTTTTTACACTTTGACTTGTCTTCCAAATTCGTTATAAATACATTTACATCCATCGCCATTTGTTACATTTTCTCTGAAATTTCATCGTACAATGATTCCTATTGTGTCACAAATTTGCATTTATCATTTTGTTGCATTGACCGGATTTTAGAACATAAGGAAAACAATTTCAAAAAAAAAAAGAGATAAACATTGTAAATCAAAAATTAAATTTCAAACTTTCCTCGCTGTTCTAATAAATATTGTTATAGGTATAGGTTTATATTTTGAATTGTAAATGGCGGTCAAAAATGATTAGATATAGAGAGGCCTAGGATTTCATTGAGCTATTGTTAATGGATGTAAGTATGTGTATAAAATTTTGGACAAAACAAAGAAAAATGCGTGTAAGATTTGTAATTGTTCAAGAAAGTGACGCTTCGTTAAGATTTTCAAACAAACACATTTATCGAACTGCATGTATTTTGTACGATTATTACCACTTTACATTTTTATAGAATTTGAACGCCTTATCTGTGCTTATATCGATAAGTAATAGGGTGTAATTTTCCTTTTACGTAGTAGCGAATTTTGTTTTTAAAGGAACGAGCACATCGTCAAATATTTAAAAAGGAAGGAGATCCATTCTAAACGATAAGGGGAAAAAAAAAATATTTTTAAAAAAACGTTTCAATTAAATTTACAAGAATCACGGTAATTTTAATACAAAAACTTATCGTTAGATTTCTAAGATTAGCTTAATTATTTTAATTTAGGTCATTGTAATTATAAATAGTGCAATCGTCAAAGTCGTCATCGAAACGGGAATGAATTGTTTAAACACAACACGATGTACAAAATTATGTGTAATCCACTTCGCTTCTCTGCGCAAAACACCATTTTTAGATATTTCTAAAAAGAAAAAAAAAAATTATAGATAATGTTACACATATGAATATAGTTGCATTTATAAGTAACCACGTGTGATTTAATGCATTGTAGATGTACATGTCTAGCAAATTCTTATTAAGTAGAAAGAGGAAAAGAAATAATTGCAGCATATCATGATGAATTGGGAACATTTGTCACTAATATATAAAAGTTTACATTACACGTATAATTCTTTTTAATCATCCTATGTCGAAAGTAGCTACGATACTGACAATAATTAACATATTGAAGTCGACGAAGGCATCAATATGTATATGCAAATAATTGATTAAACTTCGAAACATATATGTGAATTATTTTATGATCCTTTATCCTCTATTGTTTAAAATTATTTTTTCATTATTGTATTTGATTGTTAACAATTGAGGAAAGGTTGCATAAAAGCGGGCATAAAACGTGTACAACATATTTTTATTTAAATAATTCTATACAAAAATTACAATTTCAGCTTAACAGCAGACAAATTATCCTTTTGTTTCTTTTTTTTATCTGTATCAGTCTTTGCTTTGATGTGACTTTTCACTTGGTCTTGTAACTGATTGAAAAATGCAGTAGACGATTTTGGAACCTTGTAATTTGTCTCGTCCATTTTTATCACATTTCGATTATTGGTCAATTTCTTTACTAATTCTGCATCGTTCTTCTTTTTCTTAGCGATTCCTGGTTTCAATGCGTTTAGTTTCTCCTTCTTCTCCGTTGCCTGTTGTCGCGTACGTTGTTTTGTCTTCTTACGTCTTCGTTCGCGTTTCATATCAGTCTTAGTACGTTCCGCTTTACCAATGAGATCACCTCGTGGTTTAGCTATAAAAAGGATTAACAATAAAATTTAGTATATTTGAATCGAAAAAGGCAATTTCTTCAAAAGTATGTACCTTTAATTTCTTCTGGAGCTAATAAGGCAGCATCGCTCATCCCTACTGGAGCCACTTCCTCCATGTTAATTGCAGGAATGTTACTAATAATTTTAATTTCTGGTTTAGCCTGAAATAAATAAAATTAAATTAAAAAGACTCCCGTTCAATTAAGAAATTTTGTTATAAATATCTTACTGGTTTTGGTGTGTAATGGAAATTAGATAAGGCATCCAACTTGTTAAACAAGGAATGCATCATTTCCCGAATTTCAATATGTAATTTTGGTTCTTCTTCCTCTTTCTCATTACTTTCTGGATTTAATGCTTCCTTTTGTTTGAGATATTCATTTTCATAAATCTGAGACAAACTTTGTTTACTCTTTTCTTGGTTCAAGATCAACTTCTTCTTATATTCTAGTGGAGTTTCAACTGGTTTAAACTTCTTTTCAACATCATCCCAGGCTTTATCCTTTATTCTTTGCTTAATTATGTCTTCTAATTTCAATGTGGTTTGTTCAGTAATCACAGGTGGAGGTCTTGTTGTGACATCAAATTCTACAAATTCTTCTAACAGAGAGTTTTGTGGTCTGCTTGTTGCATTTACTTCACCCTTAAGCTGCCAAGCTTTCTCAGCAAGAGCTTCTTCTTCTAATTGTTCAATCCTTTTCTTCAGTCTTTCCTGGCGTGATTCAAAAGATGATTTAATTTCAGTATCTTCTTTTGTACTGACATTTTTATTATCTAAGCTATCTGTTTCATCAGAATCATTTGTGAGATTAAATGTAACTTTTTTCTTGGAGGGTTTATTATTTGCTGATTCATTCTCTATGTCCATTTCCATTTCACTATCCAAATTGCTATCATGTAATGACTTGTCATCATCTGTATCTTTATTATGTACAGAATCATCATGATCCTCATTTTCACTTTGTGGACTGTCAAAGAAATCTGCATATTTCAATAATTTTCCTTCCTCAGTTTTCTGATCTTCTTTATCAGAATAATCATTAAATAAATCTACTGAATCATCATCATCATCAGACTCATCTTCATTCTTCTCACTTTGCTTCTCCTTTTTTTCTTCTTTTATCAAATACTCATCCAATTCTTGCAATTTAAAAAATTTGTCATCTACTATTGATGGTTTATTTTTATGTTTCTTTGTGGCTTCTTTCTGTTTTTGTGAAATACTTTCCATTTCAGCCTCATCCTCTGAAGTTTCTCCTTCTGTCATGTTTTCTTCATCATTTTCTTCATCCTCTGTTATGTCTTTTTTAATGTTCTGCTTAATTTCTGGCTTAGTTGTACTAACTGGTATTGTCAACTTTTTGTTTTTAGCTAAAACCCTTGAAACATTGCTAATAAAATGTTCAAGTTCTCCTTCATTTTGCAATTCAAGTTGCTGCCAAATCTGCTCTTCATCAAAACCTTCTGTTACAAGTTCTGGTAAAGCATTAGTGTTTCTCTCAGATTGTTCTTTTGTAAAGTCATACAAACGTTTTATGGAATCTTTAAAATTTAGAGCAATTTCATTTTGAACGCTAAAACATAAATAAAATGAAAATATTTAATGAATTAACAGTTCTTAACAAGTGGTATTAAAATAGGTTATATAAAGAAACCTTTATAAAATACTCACTTTAAGAATTGTTCTGGTTTTTTAGTATTGCTATCAATAGCAGATATAACGCTATTTAATATATCTATTTCAGCCATTCTGTATTCACATTTATATTACAATTTTTCTTTAAATATTATTTAATAAGCAGGTTATGTTCGTTCCATGTAAGTACAACACCATGAGCGTGGTGCGATACCTACTGGAAAAGAAATTAATTACAAAATTATCAATTACCGATGTTTTAAATTTATCGTCAACATGCTGTCGTTTCATTGGTCGGTATATTAGTTACAACTAATGCTATTGGTTCTTAACAGATGGCGCTAATTGGCTGGTTGGCGCGCAGTGACCGACGGGGTTTCGCGCAGCGTGGTGGGGGTGAAGCGGTTCAGTCGGAACTCGTCCGTGGCGCAGGACGGAGGGAGTAAAGACGAAGAACCGCTTGGAGTTCGAAGCTGTAAACGCATTGACGCAGACCTCGGTACAGTTCGCGTGACACGCTACCGCCAGAAAAAAGTTAAAACGCGTGCGTTTTTCAGTCCGTATTGTGTGTCGCGTGTGTTTACCAACCGCGCATCAAGTCGAAAAGAACAAAAACTTAGTGTGCCGCTTTGGTGGATTCTGAGTGCTTGAAAAGTGTTTAATCGAGTGTTGTCGCGGATTCACCAGGTGCTTTGGCTTTTTGGATAAGCTTCGTACACACGGAGAAAAGGTAAGCGTACTGATATTTGTCACCATTCTATAAATCAATCAATCTTGTTTCTCCGTTCGTGTTTTGCGAACGATACAGTCTAGCATACGTTCGATTTGCGTTAGAACGCGTGTCTCAGGACGAAATCACGAACATTTTGTGTAATCGTTCGATAAAACATAGAGAAAAAAGTGTGGACCGCTGCTCGTGAGATTAGCTTTTGGGTTTGTTTATCGTCCTCGAGCGGTCCGGTCGACAAACAGAAAGTTTACGCGCGCAAAGGTCGACGGGTCACGTGGGACATTTCATACAAGGGATCCAGTGATCCGTTTCGACGCCAGAAAGGAAAAAAGTCGCGTACGAGTCCTTGCTCCTTTACGGCTTTCTTCCGTCACGTAGAAAGAATTCTTTACTAACTGGGTTCGATCGATCGGGGGATTATCCTCTATCTTTTTAAGATAACGATGGATTAATCCGAATGACTTTTTTCACAATATGTGCTTGTTTTTCAATTCTTTACCGACCCTCATTTTATTCGCATCGAGCCTCATCTTTTAAGAATTCTTTCTTATACATATACTTATTTACGAATGACACATTGTATACATTATTTATATGGCGCTTAGTAATTCAATAGGATTCCTTTTTCGTGAAATATAACCTTAATGTTTTATTGAAACGCACCCTGACATAAATATTTTTTTGAACAGTGATAAATTTCGCAATATATAATTATTATATGATTAAGTGTATCATATTAATATTATTGTGCCGATATTCGAATATAAATAATCCTGACTCGAGAAGAAAATCCTACATTTCCTACACGAAATGTATTCATTCATGAATTTCAAAACAAGGGTATAAATGGAATGTCCCATGGTCGAGTGGTAAAAATTATGGTCAGAACTCGATCTCACGCGAGGGATTTGTATCGATTCTTCCCCGTAGGGAGAATTCAAAGTTTCCCTTCCTCCCGCCACAGCATCATCACGTGTCGTCGTACAGTCATTCCGTTACGAGGTCAGAATTCCTCGTAGAGGAGAACTGGTCGTTTGCAAAGGTCGGACAGCTGGAAAACGCGCGGAAGGGAGTGGGTTAGGTAGAGTTTTCCTTTTCACTCCTCCCGTTGCTGGTCGAACGAGTTCTCGAGATGTGGTTAGGATCCTAACGGGGCGCTAGCGTCGGTGCACGTTGAAATTGGAGCGGACTTCGATCTTTTCCCGAACGGTACCCGGCATTTGATCGGCCTTAGCCCTCGCGTTCCACGAGGAAATAATATTACCCGCCGCTCCGCGAGCCGCTGCCTCGAGTTTCTAATGAGCCCCTCCAGACTCTGGCTTCGTTCGTTCCTCTACTCGGCGAATACCGTAATTCTCAATGGATGCTCGTTTTTTCTCTCTTTCTCGCTCGTACCTTCGATGCCTCCCTTTCTCGAGTCGTTTTTCTTGCCCCCACCATCGTGATTTTCGCGTCTCTCCCTACCATAGACGCGCCGTGGGCCCTTTCGATGCCCGTCTCGCGGGCGAATGTCGTGTGTGCGTGAAGGGGGCTTCTAGGGATAGATTCGATCCATCGATCAATTGTTTGAATACGCAGGATCAAACTAACGACGATTTAGGTTAGTAATTCAGCTGAGACTTAATTGAAAGTATTCAAAGTTTAACCCCGCGTTATTATATCGCCTTTAGATTCAACAATAAATAGAAAATAAAATTATGGTAGTTATCATTCATAAACCCGAGGTCATTCCCATCGCTAGTAAACGTTAGTTGTAGTACTACTAACGAATAACGAAACGTAAGTTTCTCATGCGTGCGCGATTGCGCATGCGCGTACACCCGTATTCTGGGGAGTTGCTGGACCGCTCTGGGAGTCCCCTCGGGCCCCTCCTGTCGCTTCCCACCATTTCTCCGTTCAGACGGTCTCGTAGAGGGCAAGGAATCGAGAAAGATCCTTGGCGAGTCCTGGAACCCAAGACGAGCGAACGAGCGACTCCGGTTACAGACTTCAAGGCTTAACGCCGTACTCCCGCGTTCCGTCAATCGTGGATTTACGAATCGGCCAATGGGGAGAAGAAAGTACTCGCGCGCAATGTTATTCTATCGCAATTACGATTGTACCGGTTCGTCCGAATTTGAATATCGTCGCGTGCCGGAAAGGGAAGGGATGAAGCGTGACCAAAAGGGACAACGATAGGGGGCACGAGTCACGAGGGGCTGATTTTTCCCTCGTACATCTCCGAAAGACATCTCATCGACGTAATTAGTTGTTAGTCCTGCATACGTGACCCCTCGGCACTCGGCCACGGAATACGATATGAAGGAACGGAGTTTTATCTAGCGCGTACACGCGGTCGGACTCTTCTAGTAGACGGCTCCGACACGACGGTGAATGTAAAACTGCCAGAACGCATGCAGGAATGTAGATTTTTCTTGTCAACTTTCTACAAGCCTCTGACGTCACGACGCCACTCGTTGCCGAATGCATTATAGCCCGTTTCAAAAAAAAAAAGTAGGCTCGAACCTATTAACCCTAGGGACACGCGTCTTAAGTCGTATTTCAATTTCTATACTTTTGCAAATATTAGTCGCTAATGTCTTCATTATCAACGCGATTCTAAGGGAAAAATTTGTAAAACGAATCGCAAATAAAAAGAACCAGCCCTCCTTCTTCGAAGCCCAAGAGCAGACTGACTGGCCTCCGCGCGATGCAACTGGTCTTATCAGATGCAACTGGCCCATTTACCTAGGGCTGAAGTAACAGGCCCTGTGATTGGCGGAGTACGACTGATGAGACAAGCGCGGCTATCTGATTGGTCGAAAGTGATTGATCGATAGGGCTGTTGTCAAAATAACGTATCGTAATATGACTGGTACGAACATCTATAGATGTTTCTTTAATTAAAAATTACTCCTGAATAATATCGAGGAGAAGCGAGAGAAGCAAATACCTAGTCGACTGTGTCGCCTAAGATTACGCGTAATTAATGCAGGAACAGCGATAAGATAAAGGAATAAAATAATATTCGATTGATCCAACGTAACGCTGCTATCTCGCATATTTGACCCGCTAGCGTAAAATCATTATTCAGTGCCTGTTCTCGGCTATAAATTTGAGAGATAAAACTGGAGAATGCAAAGGGAACATCAAGACCTCTCGTGCGATACTCGAGGAGGCTGCTATCAATTGTAGAACCCTCGACGAATACTTTTTGCCTTAGTTTTTCTAACAATAAATTACCGTTACTTGTAATTTTCTTCTTGAAAAAGAACGCAGAAAAGCGTAATTATTGTGGTCGGTAATTTCACTTGGGTTTAGCCGGCTGAAACGATTCCATCATCGGTACGCGAGTTACATTTCCTGTAATTGAACCGAACTGGCTTTCCATTTCACTTTTCACCGTTACATTTCACCAGGAGGGAATTTAGTTACGATAGTAACCTCTTCAGCGTACTTAAGGATCTCCGTTCGTTCGATGTCTGAAAACCACTTGGTCCATTATCGGTTGAAGTAGTTTCAAGAACAACGATGATTGCCAGATGATGAAGACTTAGGCTATTCAGAACTCGAAGAAAAATTGTTTCTCGTGTGATATTTTCATTCGTGTAGATCCAAAATAGATTCCGGGAACTTTGGTATCTCTAGCATCTAACGGTTGCTCCTCCGTCGATCACCAAGTTTCCTCGCCACGGAGCGTGCACAATTTTCTGAAATTCAATGGTCCGTTAGAGAGGAAGGCGAGCTTCCTTGGATTCACAGAGCGAATCTGATCGACGAAGCGGAAACTGGAATCGACGCAATTCCGAGGAGATCCACGTATCCTTAGAGCTCGGATCCCAGGGCCGATGGAATGCGCGGGAAAAAGAAAATATTCTGAATCGAGCTCTCGAATTCTTATTTTTCAATACTTGTTGGTCTTCCTCGCGTTACTACCGATGGAACGTACGATAGAAAGAGGGTATTCGACGTGTGGTCTTATTAAATTATTATCGATCCGATTAGACAGCTACTGGCGGGATAATTGGATGACGATCATCGTCTGAAACGGCGCGGCGGCTCATTGAAAACGGCTTGATCGCGCAATATCGATTAAACTTGCTGGATACAGGATACGAGGTTTCCTTCAAAGTATCCGCTTATTAGAGACTTCGAATTAACGAGGGAAAGGTGGGATAATTGGTGCATCTTTTTCGCAGCTCTCATCTTAGAATTAGAATAGAACGTGTTTTTCAGGAATACTGTTAATATGTTAATCGACGTGGAAGGGAACATTGTAATGGAGCGAGAACATGTAAAAATAAATTTTGATAAGATAATAGCGGTTAATGATTCACGACTGATCTTGGGGTCATGAATTACGCACTTTGCAAAATCAGTAAACAGCAGTAAATTTGATTACAGAGATTAAGCATTTGCATAAATAACTTGTGAATGGAAATATTTCCATTCTCGATACTTTATGTGGTTGAATTTTGAAACAGAGATATAAAAAAAAGCAGGATTTATTTGTATCTGCAGACAAAGATTAAAAAGTTACATAAGATACATCAGTGAACGTTGCAAACTCTTCTTTGCATCTTCTTCTTGAGGACGTGTAAGTGTCTTAGAATTATTAGTTTATTTTTTGTAGTGTCACTTTATCAAGCATTTCTATTGCTTCAGTGACTCACATTTGTTGATTCTTGATGTCATCCAATATTGGTAAAGCTTCAAGTTCTATCTTCATCTTGTATTAATAAACACTCTGATTCCCTGTCATAGTCTGATACTAACAGATGATTTGAATTATCATTTGGAATAGGATCTTCCAACAGACCTTCCCCAGGAAAATTAAGTTTTATTCCATGGGATGCTTTTCATCTTTCCAACTACCTCATGCTTTCAGTAAATGTAGGATGAGAATCTAACATTTCATTGAGGCATTACATTCTTAAGTCTTTTAAGAGCTTCTCTTTTGATTAAATTATCTCTGGAAACCATTTTAGCACAAAAACCTTCAATTTCCTTTCTGATCCTCTTTCAGTCAGAAACAATTGATGTTTCTATACCTAAGTCAGCAGCAGCAGCATTGTTCAATGGCTCACCTTCATCTGTTCGCAACAAAGCTTGTTTTTCCTGTCATACCTATAAATATCAAATGTTGAAAACAATATATCCTGTAATAAACATTGTAATTACTCAGCAATGAGCAAGAGTTGAGAGTTATTTTTAGATAGTCTTGACCTACTTGTAACATCAATTAATCACCCAAGTTCTGTGATATAACGAAGAATCATTCTTGGGTTACTTGTAACAAACATTAACATACTTTTCTAAGAAACAAGCATCTGTAATATATAAATTTTAGTGAACTATAAATTCAGCTAATATAATAGAATTCAAATAAATCAGTCTGCTTTCTATACCTACATATTTTTTATTGTTTAACAAATCCTCTGTATGTACATACAGGTTATGTTATTCATTCTTATCACTGACATTTTAATTCATAAATGTGTATCAGAATCTTTCAAATTATCAATTCCTCAAGTTAAACTTGTTTTAAACGAAATTCAATTGTTTCTCCTTCGAAACTTTTAAATTCCTATGCAAAATAACAAAATATAATCTACTCCGAAATACTCGGAATATTCTGCTCGCAGCGTCCTCTGGCGTTTATCTTTTTTACTAATCAGTTTGAATATTCAAAAAGCCCGGGAAGCCCCAGAATCTAGGGGAAGTTTATGGGGAGGTTTGGGAAGCCCCGGGAAATACCATTCTTATTACTGTATATAGCCTCGTTTTTTACAAAATAAAATGAGTGCCACGTATTCCACTTGTCATCGAAGTATCGAGAAGAAGGTCTGCCGTTCATCGAAATTCAAATCACCCACTTCCATCGCGTCCGGATAATCCAAGTCCATTGTATTTATATCGCCGATGTAAATTCCCTCGCAAATTCGAGCCTCCTGCTCGACAATGAAGGGGGGCCTAATGTGGCGCGTGGGAGTACACAGGCTATTAACGTGAAACTTACAAAAGGTACCGCAAACCACACTGTCCTGTAGAATACGACCCACCGGGATCCTCGTGACTGAATGGTGTACATTTTCTGCGAAATAATACCTTTCATTCAGTCATATTCTACATAATACATGAGTAGACCGATGGTACAGGTATATAGCGAAGTACATTAAAATATACGAAATAGCGAGCTCAGAAACGCAGATAATCGCATAATGTAACTCGTTGCTTAATCTGTTACGTGAAAGTTATGATTTAACGATTAACGTCCGGCAGGAAATCAAGTGATTCACCTACACCTCGTAATTAAAGGTGATTCCTGTGAAAATTTTTTAAACGACCAGATAATCCCTCTTTATTTCACGATTATCGTAATAAGTGTTTTCCCGCGAGCAACACCGAGCTCGTTGTTTCTTAAACGATCAAGAACTGAAACTGTTACGAGGTGTTCGGAATGAAGGGTTCATTGTGAGAAAGTCACGCTAGTATTTTTCATTCATTCAGAGTTGAAAATAAAATCTTTCCGGGCGTGATATACTTTACTTTCCGATCGTGACTCGACGAAAACGGAGCCGAGTAAGAAACCGGAAGTGATGCTAGAGTCGGCGCAACGGTAGATTCGACGCCATCCTCGCGGTAACTTACGGATCGTGAAATTGAAATGAAATGTCGGACGCATGTGCAAACTTCCGCGAAACCGGTGATGTCATTCTTATTAACCGACTGTCCTCCGACCAAACAGATTACCGCTGGATCGCGATGGAATATTCTTGTTTCGCGGTTATGTAAATCGCGAATACAATACTTACATGGAAATCGACCGATCGTCGTTACGAGTCGAAAGGCTAGAAATCTTTCAGCGATGTAAGAACAAAGAGGAGGAGGAATCGGGAACAAAGAAGAAGATACTTGCCGCGCTCGATAGAGCTAGAAGAAGATCGATGCGCGGCAGGAAGTTTGAAATTGCCCCGGAAATACGGTGAACGGGAAGAGAGGGTCGTGGAAGAGCAGAAGACCAGGTGAAATCTGAACCGTATTATTATCGAGGCTCGTCCCGGAGTCGGATGGAAAGAGACACCGACGCACTATTGACACTGATAGTCCGGGCAAACATTCATCCAGTCTTCTCGCGTATACGCTCACATGGTCGTTGGGGAAAAAAAAGAGGATGTGACAAGGTCTAGCAAGTTCAAACGACATGACGACAGGCCTATATTTGGTGGCTGACAGACTGGTCCCTTCTGTTTGGTGCAGTGCTGTGCGATCCGACTAATATGTCGGGTTCCCGACTGCACGCATGTATCGGATACCAGCCCGAGACCATAATATCGGGTCCCCACATATCCCTAATTTATAGTTTTACATTTACCAAAATCACAGATAATATTAATATTACAGTAGTCTCTCGTTATATTGCCGCGGTGAGCCCGTAATATCGGGTACCCGCACATCCCTAGTTTGACTAGCCTCCTACGTTGCACCAAGGTGTATATACCCATTTTTGTCAATATCTCAAAGAAATTTCACAATTTCTGCAGTCTGGACCTAGTATTTGCAAAGTTGTAGATCCTCGGGATGTTTTCTGTGCAGTCTGCAGATATAATATCTTGGAGCTTACGACACTCTCTTATCTCTTCCCGAGTGTGCATCGTGCTCTATCAAACTAACACGAGAACGTTGCTCGAGTTCTAAAGGTGTCGAACAACTTGCGTGCCTTTTTCCTTTGATCGGAATTAGAACGATGGATAGACACGCGTTTTACTTTCTTTAACGTAAATAGCAACACGTAGGTCGTTAGAGAACTTTCTCCGATGATTTTGGTAAGTGTTCACGTGTATGCTAATGAGCTACGACGACGTGTGCGTCCGTGAAATTATAAATATTTTTATATCCATAAGAGCGTTGGATTCGATACGATAATAATTTTCTATCGGTTATGAAAGAATATAAGATTTTATCTAGATGTTGCTGAAACCCTTTGAGGTTTCTCTGCTTCTAACATGGCGCATCCAGCGTACTTCCGGTTTCTATCTCGTGCTTCCTATTCGCCATGCGAATAAACCAGCTCGTACGGTACCCATTCCAGTCGAAGCTGAACGATGAAAGTTAATACAAGTGAAAATCGGTTTTGTTGTTATTGTAAATATTAGGAAGGAAGTGATCGAACGTATAAATAAACGCAAACGCGATAAGTTTATCTTGATGATACTTTCTCCTGTGTAAAATAGTTGAAATGAAATTCAAGGTAGAAATGAAGAGTGTTTAATTAGCTAGATGAATGTTGTCGAACGAGATAGGGTAATGGAGTAATAGCGGTACGATGAATTCATTCATTATAACGTCATCGCTACTTTTGTCAGATAATCATGATCGGAGTATGTCGGGTAAAAATGTGACATAATCGTCGGCAATTTTCCTTTTGATTCGCAATATTTTTTTCCACGTACAATATTCACGATACCGACGTTTAATGGGAATTTATCGCGAGCGGTGTAAAGGTCTGCCGTGTTATCGCGATATATCTTGGAGTTAATTAAAGCAATGACTGTCGAAGATATCGGCGATATTAATAATATTCAATTTTCTGTAAACTTAAAAATCTTCGCACCATTGATTTCGATGCTTCGAATAATCATTCCACTTCGATGCGTTCCATCGTAAGTGCGTACTTCCGGAACGATGCCTCGTTTCCTGCTACATTGACGAACCTTCCAACGATTCCGCGTATTTGAAAATTACATCAGAACGAGTTAAATTGGTTCCATAAAAAATTTATTTGCGCGAATGACGCGTGTTTCTGTCTCGTGACATCAGAGGCTTAGGTGATTCAATTTCAACAGAGATTGTAAGGAGATAGTTCTTTCATTTTAATTTCGAAGAATTTTCTTATTGCAATTTTTACCTGAATACTGGTAGCTTTTTCACTTGATCATTATAGAAACAAATTATCCTTGATTACAAAATCAAACTAAACGTCTGTCCCGATTAATGTATGCAAATGTTATTCTAACAGGATAGACGTTCTTGTGAGAAAAAAAGCGTCATGGTTCTTGTTCAATTATATAATTACATCGCAATTTGTATACGAACGATCGAGTAGGAAGTTGAAAACGATGTACACGCGACACCCGATCGGTCATGTCTCTGTTTAATTTCATAAACACGTCTCTTATGACTGCTATTAGCTTTGAATCATTTCTATTTTATTCGATGCTTAATCGAAATGGTAAATCGTATTTTGTTTTCAAGAAAATTTGATGGAACCACCTGCAGGCTACGGTAGTGAGAGGTGTACAGTAGCGAGCAGGGAGGGCTTCTCAGAATAAGATGGTGATATAGGTACTTACATTAGATATAAGTACTTAGAATCTAGGGAAACTTAAAATACGGAATCGCCTAATCTAGGGAAACTTAAAATACGGAATCGCCCAATCTAGGGAAACTTAAAATACGGAATCGCCCAATCTAGGGAACCCTAGAATACAGAATCGCCCAATCTAGGGAACCCTAGAATACAGAATCGAGTAAAATCTACTACCTTGCATATTTCTAAAATTTTTCACGGGTTAAATCGTCTTCTTTTCTCTCTTTCATTTAATTACAAAAATTATTATTAGGGAAACGTTTACTAGGAAAAATTGTATTTCAATGAAATTGGCCTTAATGTTAATTACGTGGTGATTTTTAACACTCATTTCAACTGGTTTGATAGTTCTAGTGTTAAGTATTATAGCGAGTGGTGGTATCTCCTGCTATATCGCCATATTCTCTAGGGAAGTCTACCGTGCTCGGTGTTGTACATGTACACTTGTACTTAGCTTCGACTACATAAAAGAACAGTGGACATAACACGCTCGCGATACGCGATAAGAGTCCTGTCTGTCAGTGGTCTTTGGCTAACAGCTGAATCAGTTCGGTGTCGCTGTTCGCGAACGTCCAAACGCGATCTACTGTTCGTTTAGAAACCGTGTGTTTTTTTTTTTTTTTTCGAGAAATCAGTTAGTATAGTGAAACGAGTCATGATTACAAGGATCAACGGCCATTAGAAGAATCGAAGAGATGATGTCACGCAATTATTACGGTATGTAGTGTAATTACTAGCCGAGGAATATGCGAATCATCCCGATGGTCATGGGATCACAGTTAATTAATCGAGCGGTCTTTGGTATTCTGAAAATAAATTTATATTTATTTTTCTCCCAGATTGATTCTGTTATCAAAATTCATTCGTAGTAGATATAGTTTACGTATAGTTACGTGTTGTTCGATGTTCGACAACAGAGTCGATGATTAAGCAACCACACCTGTTTGCTACTTTATCTGTCTAGATAAAAGATTATCTGTTGAAATTCTCGTCGCACATTCCATGTAATTAGAGCTCAATACACGGCCTCTGGGTGTTATTTGCTGTTTAGCTGTGAGTGTCGTGAAGCGGCTCGGACTGGCTTTAATCTTCGTTGTCTGCGATCTTCATTGCGTCTATTGTCCTTTCATTAGCCCCTGTTTCAATGATCTATGTGTCATTCGACTCTTAATAACGATATCAATATATTCTAAGAAACGTTTAGAAAATGAATAGCGTTTAAGAGGAGGCTCCTTGATTTTTAATTAACACATCGTTAATTGCTGACGCAAAGCAAGGTGTTAAAATGTTATTTTAGAAATTTACGTAACCAGTCGTCTCGCTATACTTTTTCTATACAGCGATTTCGATGAAAAATACGCGAATTCAGTCGGAAACCTAATATTTCGAGCTGCTTTAACAGCAAGATTTGCGCGAAACGAAACGTGTTTGCAGACGTTCCGCTCGAAGAATCCCAAGTGCGTGCACACATGCGGTTGTTACATCGCGTTACATGGTTTCCACCAGCTTAGAAACTCGACGACTAAAGCCAAAGAAAAACAGAGACAGAGAAGCTAAGCACTCTAATCAAATCTCCGATGCTCCCTGCTTGTCATTGCCCTCGGTTCGCACGCGAACGACTATTGGCACGCTTTTCAGCACGGCTTCCTTCACGCCTTGAACGTGCATGTTTTTCAGAATCAATTTTAAAATATCGAGATTCGAATGACATCGAATGGCGCTAAATATTTAATCCGTTATAATATTGAACAAAGTAAAATAGTATGAAATAAAATGTAGAACTATGGCATGGAACTATTTCAAACGGTGGTATTATTATCAGTGTACCCCGATAAGGTATATCTGCCTGGGGAAAAATTCACTTCCATGCCGTAGAAATAGAAAATCATCGCCCACGAACAAGTAGATCAACGTCACTACACAATGTCCTTCACATTTTCTCTCCCCTCGAATAAACAATAATATTATCTCTCGAACGATAAGCTTTCTAACACGAATCGATTATATTATTAATGCAACGCGATGATAAGGCACGAGGATCGAACGTGTCGATGATCGAGATCATTTTCATGGAAACTTGAATTTTTTATTTATTTCAGGTCACGTTTCGGTGATTCGTATGTTTGAAAACACCCCCTATATGCAAATCTCACTTTTTATATTTCATTTGAAATATTTGTCGCCGCGTAACGTCGTCTGTAAGGTTTCTCGAGTCAGATGAAAACAAAAGGATTAAACGTAATTTCACGATGATTTATTGGTCGAATATTGTGAAATATTACTGGGAATTCTGATATCAAATAACTTCAAACTTAACAGTTGTAACGTTTGATAACGTGACTCGAGTGGTGTTTCGAATCTAAGAGAACTCTACGATTCGAGAGGATAAATAAAGAATTTATACGAAATAACAGTTTGAAATATCCCTTCGTTTATGTCGATGTTAAACTACACGATCGAAATGTTTGCCCGAAATAAAAAAGTAGATCCAGCTAAGAGGTATGAGACTGGTCGAGCAAAATCCGTGACCTCTGGTAAAACAAGCTTTAGCATTTACGAAACGAGTTCCTGGCTAAAATATTCTCGGGCAGGTATTAATTAAAAATCGTGATTCCTTTCGCTGCTAAATTCCTTATTTACGTCTGGATCGTTCGAACAGAGGATAATCGATATTAGAACAATTAGTTTCAAATTTTTTATTTTAACCCTTTACACTAGTAACATTATTGACGCAAAAAAAGAGGGAGGTGGGAGAAAAAGTAAATAAGAGCAAGTGCTAAGAACGTGTAGTCGAGGAAACGGACGGCTTTTTGCCAGCATTCGTGACTCGACAAGATTATTGTCCTCGGTTTATCGTCGCTCGGACATGTGTCATAAATTGTTTGCCGCCTTATAAGGGCCGACAGCCGAATAAACGTGAACGGGAAGGTGAATCGTTGATTTTTCACGTGCAGGCGAAAACGGGAGGCTGGATAAACGAAATTAATGTTCTCTGCCTACTTACCGTAAAATTTGAATAAGAAACGTAAACTTCCGTTTCCCTTTCAAGCGTCTGTTTTTATACTTTCACGGTTAATTTACTCCACGGTGTGTCTAATTTTGGGTGAAATGTTTGGTTTCAGGGGCGCAGTATGTGCCCGGCGCTGGGCTTGGCGCCGCACCCCAAAACAGGACCTTCAACTTTGAATACGTACCACCGTCTTATCCACCTAGCAGAGCCGACAGATACAGGGGTGGTCCTGATATACAAAAAAGAATGACTCAAAGGGAAGACGCGCTTAAATTTGAGCAGGGCCGTATCAAGGCCCTGCAAGAGGAACGTCTGCATATACAAAAGAAGACGTTCACGAAATGGATCAACTCGTTCCTCTTGAAGGTGCCGTATTTAAAACGAATCCTTCCGTATTTTTTTAGAGAATCTTAAGTACAGGGTATTTTGAATTTAATTTAATTTTGTCTGCCGACAATGTTATATAATATTAAAATGAAAACAAAACGATGGTAATATCGTTGGTACACGAAGTCTCAGGCGTATCTACACAGGAAGAAATCCAACGAGTCGTCGAATCGATTACTTTCACTTTACAGGCACGTATGGAAGTGGACGACTTATTCACGGATTTAGCAGACGGCAAGAAGCTTTTGAAATTATTGGAAATCATTTCTGGCGAACGATTGGCCAAACCTAACAATGGACGGATGCGAGTGCACAAAATCGAGAACGTGAACAAATCGTTGGCGTTTCTTCACACGAAGGTAAGCCTAAATTAAGTAGGAAACTCTAGAAAATACCTGTAATAGAATTTAGGGAACCCTAGAAAATACTTAGAATCTAGGGAATCTTAAAATACGGAATCGCCAAATCTAGAAAGTACTTAGAATCTAGGGAATCTTAAAATACCGAATCGCCAAATCTAGGGAACCCTAGAATACGGAATCACCGAATCTAGAAAACCCTAGAACGTACTTAGAATCTGGGGAATCTTAAAATATGGAATCGCCAAATCTAGGGAACCCTAGAATGCAGAATCGGCGAGTCTAGGGAACCCTAGAATGCAAAATCGAGTAAAATGTACTATTTTATCATATTTCTTGAATCTTTCACGGGTTAAATCATCTTCTTTTCTCTCTTTTATCTATCGAGCAACAAACGGATGAATTACAAAAGTTATTATACCTCTGACAAGTAATGTATTCGACGCGTTTCATACACAATCGCGTAAGTGCATTATAACCCATACGTGTGCACACATATGTACCTACGAGCCCTGTCATAAAACTATTATATCATAAGCTAGGAAGCATAGAGGCCATTCACGAGGACTTTGCACTTGCAGAGCTTCGGGCATGCAGTGTTCCGCGTTCACGTAGGACGTCTCGAAACTCTGTGGTTCTATCGACTCCGTGAAATGTTGCTAAATGCACTTTACCGCTCGGACAATTATTTGTACACGCGTGAAAGATCGTACGATAAAACGATCGTAACGCAATTGTGAAATATCCATGGTAGAAGTCGTAAATGATCTTTCGCATTCGATCCATTCGTACGTCGTCTTTCTATTTGTTCAATAGCAACGATCGAAGGAAAAGCTTTGAAAATAATAAATTCTTTTACTTTATCATCCGAAGACCGTTCGATGATTATAGATGGTTCACAAAATCAAGTCACGAATCGTTCGACAAGACCTTTCAAAGATCAGAGTCATCGAGTGGAACGGAACGTTGGCTCGGTCAAACGTGAATCGAAGCACAGATAATATTGTCATTTATTAATGCGCTGTCGTGGAAAAGCTTAGACGGGAGAAAATTTCCGTTTTCGCTTGCATAATCTTTCTTACGTAACATCCATAAGACGAGAGAGTAATGCTGTCGCGAAATTCGAAAGACAATCGTGAAAGCGTGAGAATTATTTTCTACCAGTTCCCTAATGAACAATTAAATCCATAAAGTTAATGAACAAAGCTGATTGTAGAGATGCCGAAATGGTGCCTGTTTAATTATTCGATAGAAGTCTTCGTTTATCATTCCGGGTATAAAATTCCTAGGGAACCCTAGAAAATACAGGGTACCCTAGGGAATAATTTCAGCCACGCTAATGGTACATAGATAGATCATTGACCAGCCGACGCCAACGCCTCGTTTCATTCGATCGTCATTCGATTCTCTTGTTACCGGAAGTGTCAGCAGCTCGTCTCGCGTCATATTTTCTCTCTCACGGTCTCACGTGTTCCAGATTCAGGCGTATTCGAAAACTGGTTCCTCCATCGGCTGCATTTTTCTCATTCTTTACCTCGGAAAGGTCGTCTGAGAGACAGAGGAAAGTTAAAAATTTTGATTTACGAACCAGTCCCAAAGTCTACAATAATATTGACGAAAAAAAAAAAAAAAAGAAAAAAAAATGAATTGATAAATGAACGGAAATCTGTGTATTCAAAAACGACTACTAATCGCAGCGGCAAGTTTCACGAAAGAGAAACTATCTGTTTAACAAAATTCCAACGAACGAAAGAAATCATCGGCATGTCGTTTGCAAATCATAAAAGAAGAAAGTACTTGAACGTGTTCCAAGAGCGAGTGAACGCATTTCAAATCGACCGTTTTTCTCGGTCACAGACAGGCGTGAAAATTTCCTTTTACGGTGGAAATTAAAGAATAAAGACACGTCTAACGTTTGAACGGGTTAAAAATACGAAGAGGAAATATCGTCGATTCCTTGTTGAAAATGAAGGAATTTCCTCGACTTTCTAACTAAGAGCGTGGTCGGTTGAAAAACGTTCGCGGAATGTTTGCATTAGCCGAGAATCACCTTCCAGAAATAACTCGTGTCCTTTCCAGTAATCCAGGTGGGAGACGACACCGTCATCGTGGCGAACGCGATAAATGATTGATTCAATTGTCGCTCGATCGTGTTTCGAATTCGAACGCGAATCGCCCGTCGGTTTTGGCCATGAATTTTAATCATTACCGCCTCTTTTAAGCCTTAACTTTGAAGTTCGTTTAAATTCTAGGGAAACTTAGATATTGAATCTAGGGATCCCTAGATATGCTCTTCGAAATAAAAGTTATTTTTCATAACTCATTGCGTCTGAAAAATTGAATAGTTGAGCCTTTCTTTGTCGGAAGATTTCAAGGGAAATGATTATTCGTGACGGTTCGATCGATCAATTTATTCGAGCATGGAAAGGACACGTTTCGCGCGTGCTTATTACCGCTTCGTCGTGTTACGAGATCCGCGATTGCGGCGTTACGTAAAACCATCTTGCTAATCGCGTTTAAAAACCATCAAATATGCGGACGTGATTTTAACAAGTACGAAATTTATATCTGTGTACCTGATAATCGACGTTCAACCCTTCTACCACTGATCATAGAACCATTAGCGATCGACTACTGTAAGAGACACTTTTACTTTTATCATTCGCACGTTTATTAGCATGGTAATTATTAGTCGTTGATCTTTTTTTGGCAACGGAAAGTCTGGAATCCTTGAAGCTTCATTTGCATGACAGAAC